CCCCAGCCCGCCCCAGGGGTTACACAAGTGCGCCGCGTCCGCCGCCAGCATGAACCGGCCCACACGGAACCGCGGAGCGCACCGCTGATGCATCTTGTACGGCGCAAAGTTGACCACTTTGTACTCGTCGGGCCCCGGGTGGCCCGGCAGCATCGTCCTAAACTTTTCCTGCTGGCGCGCTTGGAGCTCCTCGTGCGAGAGGTTCGGCTCCTCGCCGTAGGTCACGCGGTACAGGCCGTCACTCGTGATCTTGGCCGCCATGAAGAAATGGTCCGGATGGATGATGAAGTTTGCGTCGTCGAAGCTGAATTTCCCCGCAAAGTCGTAGTACGTGTTCGTCGCGACGATCTGCTGATCCCACGTCCAGCCGGGATACTCGTCTCCGAAGAGGCCCTTGCGGATGGCACTGTTGGCGCCGTCGCAGCCGATAATGTAATCAGCTTCGATCCGCTTCTTCTCCTTTTGTTTCTCCCCATCGGACCCGGGTGTCTCGACGTCGACCCAAGCGCGGGCCTCATCCTGTCCGAGACCGACGACGCGGTGCTCCCAGCTGATGGTACCGTTGTACTTGTTCAAAAACTCGTCGAGCATGAGCTGGTCAAGCTCTTGTAGGACGAGGCACGTGGTCCTCAGATCCTCGCCGTCGACGTCGCGGAGCACGCCCGCATCGAACCCGGTGATGACGCCGTGGTCGTCGAGCCGGCGCCATACAAACTTGTTCAGCGTCATGCCGCGGCGGCGGACTTCCTCCAAGATCCCTGCTCGCTTGAGATCGGGGATGGCGGCGGGGCCATAGTGAGCGGCACGCGGTTGCTGGTCGAGGTGGTCCTGGGCCTCGAGGATGTGAACAGGAATGCCGTGCTTGGACAGCAGTAAGGCGAGTAGGAGACCGGAGGGGCCAGCCCCGACAATCACGACCTGTTCAATATCTTAGGAAACTGTTCATCTGGGAGGGCCGGGCAAAGTACAGTACTTTGTTGAACGGACGACTCATCTTAAGCTCTAAATCTGTATGATCAACAGTTGTAAATTTGCTCTGGAGTGAAGAAGGAGTTGAAGATCGTCGAATGGACCCTGATTGTTATGAGAACCGAATCAACCCCGCAACGGGACCGCATCGACCCGGACAGATTGCCAGAGATCCATTGATGCAACAGTATTTTTCCCCATCGCCGGGGTGCCATTCCGAAGAATGTTGACTTATCTGCTCCATTTTGCGGGCAGACTTTGACCCCGCAGACGTCACCACGCGGGCGACCGAACTGCCAGACGGAGCTAGATGAGGGGCACGCGCGGGGTTGATATTCGGCAGATCATTTTTAGATCAATTGTCCGTACGGAGTATATGGGAGCAATCTAGATCGGATGGGGTTCCCCTTTAAGCTTTTGCGCTAAACCTGGAAACCGTGAATGCTAGTGGTAATTTGGGGGATTCCTACACAAAGTCTCATATTATAGGTTTATGATGAATACTAGACGACCTTGCTTGCGTGAGGATTGTGTCGCCATGCCTCCGTCGGGCGGGACATGAGCCTAGTCGGCTATGAGACCCTCGGTTGCAGAGAAGGCCAGTTTTAAGCGAGTTCAAGAGAACAAAATGATGCTTTCTGGAGAACTCGTGGCTGAAATGACCTGTTCCATTTCATTGCTAGCTGAGGTGAATAAAAGACGGTGATTAGTATCATTCCGATGCGGGGGCATGCATCTCAGAGTTCCGGCTCCTGCCCCACGCTCTGCCAGGGCCGGCCGACCCCACATTGGCCTGGAGCAGCGGCACCTGTTCCGGCGAGATGTATCCAGGGCACCCTATCGGGACACCGTTGGCTCTTGACAATGGTAGACCACGGCAGTACAAGGTACGCTCCAAGTTCAAACATGGTCCTTGAGAAATACGCGCCTCCCAGATCAATTACCTAGCAGTCATACACCACCGGGGGCGGAAATATTCACTTGCATACCTATGTGAATTCTCATCAAGGTCGTAAGATTTATATCAAAGATCACGCAGTAACATAACAGGGCCTGCAAGTTTCCAAAACGGTAGAAATTTATAGACTTTACCTCCCCGGCCACATGTATTTGCTGTTCTTCTCGTTTTATGGTATTACCACTTATTGCTAACGACCGGTAGTAGTAGTCTCGGTCAACGAAAATTTTGTACAGATTTCATCGTGGACTTCGAACGTGAGTGATCACAGTTGAACGAGTACCATATGCTGAAAACTATCAGTCGATCGCTATGCCGTGCTTCGGTCTTGATGATCACCTGACGAGATTGTCTCAATGTTCAACTCTTGGCCACCATCAAGCAGACTTGGATTCATGACAAAGCCGAGACGGGGGAATTGCACACGATTCCCAGACTAAGATTCCGCATAAGTCAGACAACGACTTACCCGATACCTCCGACTCACTTCAAGGGCGCATTAGAAACCAACAATCCCACAGGCGCACCGGTAAGTGTAGGCACATCCCGACCCGAGACACAACTACCACCGTGTCTCGGGCCAGGCTGACTCGCAAGAAGGTTTGGCGCCGAGTCGATTGTGTAAGTAGAATAGACACCGATTTGGCACCGACTCGTCGTCGGCTCGGCTATCCGTACCGTTCTTTCGAACATACCCCTACCCAGCCTACTCAGAAAACTAGTCTCATCCTCAGGGTCACTTATGCTCAGCTCGAGCCACTGCGGCTCTTGGCCGCCGCTCAGCTAATCACCCCACACCCCACACCTCACACCTCACACCTCACCACCAAGTTGGAACCTATTATGAGTTAGCAGCCTCTGCGGCTGATGAAAGATAGCTTTTGAATTGCGCGCTGGTCTCATTTGTATCGCTTCCCTTGTTACTCAACTCATTTTTTCCCAGCTCCTCTACTTTTCCCTATTCTCTCAGTAGAATCATCTTTTTGTTTTGCGCACAGAGGAAGGGTGAAGATTCTATGTGTTGAACATGTTTCAAAAATCGTGCTTTATTCTGCTGGTATCATAGAATTCTTCCGCTTGCCCGGGGCACGATTTTTCCTGGCCCTTTTCGCCCTTCCTGATGTTTGTTCCCAAGTCTACTCCAAGACTGCGAGGGATTTGATGCGACAAATGAAAAGTAATGTAACAAAAGACTCTTTGAGGAGATGAGATGAGAAAAGAAAAATGAGTTACCAGTTAAACAATACATAAAAGTCTTGGTAAGACTCCTGAAACCCCGGTTGGGAATATATATAATATGACCATCATATATACAGGCTATCTATTCAGCCAGAGAAGTGAAATGTTTTTCGATCGGATCGGATAGTGAGGTTGGAGGGAGCGAAGAGTCAGAAAGAGAAAAAAAAAGAGGTCGACATTTTCGAAATACTGGCTGATTTGACTCTTGACTATCCAACTTCCGATGTCGTAAAGCGAAGGCATCATGCGCTTTATTCCCCCAATTTTAGCTTTGTTTTTGACCTTCGGGATTAATCAACGCACACCCGTCACGTCCTTTCAGCCCAACCCATAATTGGGCGGCCGCAAACCCCGTACTGTCGGAACGCGCTTACGAGATGGTAAGCACCATGGGACCGGCCACAATGATGTCATCGGTGAGCGTGCCAGCCATCGGGGCGTTGTTGGTGAGGGAGAGGTAGACGACTCCGCTGAGACCCTGGGGAACGACACAGCCAGTCTGGGGGTTGAAGGGAGTGAAGGCAGTTCCACCGGGCTGGATGCCACCAGTGGTGAACGCGCAAGCCTTGGCCTGGGGTGCGGCATCGGACTGGAGCATAATCGGAGCACCGACGGCGACGGCCTTGGGGTCGGCGGGGGCGGTCATTGCCAGCTTGGGGAAGGGCTGCAGAGCCAGGTTGGAGCCCTGGGGGCAGGAGACGATGAAGGGTGCGGCCAGAGAGAAGACGGCGCGGACACCAAGAGGGGCGTCGAAGGCCTGGGGAATGGCGATCTGCTTAGAGGCGGCACGGATGAAGGTCTGATGGCGAGCCTCGATGGTGAGGATGGAGCCAGCAGCGCCGAGGATGGCCTTGTCCTTGACGAGAGGAGCAGCGCCGAGGTAGGCAGAAACACCGACATTCTCGAGTACACCGGCAGTTGCGACCATGCCAGCAGCGTTCGTGAAACCGAAGTTGTACTGGCAAGGCTGGACGGGCTGAGTGCCGGCCTGGGCAATAGCGGATTGCAGGAAAGACACGTGAGACAGCTCAGTAGCACCAACTTGTTGCAGGTCGTTGACTTGCTCGTTGGACAGACCAAGAGCCTGGAAGTCTTGTGCGGGGAACTTTTGGAAGCCTTGCTGGTAGAAGGTACCCTCGAGCCATTCCAAAGTAAGAGCGCTGTGAAATCCGTATTAGTTCCAACGCCCAACATATGTTGTCCTATTTCGAGTCCCAAACTCACAATTGCAGGATATCAATATCCGTCAATCCAGCAGCCCCAGCTCCAGCCTGTTGCCTCTTGGCGAGATCGTAGATCTTCATCTGGTCGGCGTTCAACTTGGGGCCCAGGGGGGCGGCGGTGGCCACTGCGGCCAGGCAGGCGACGAGAACAGACTTCATTGCGGAAGGCATGGTTGATTAAGATATGTTGTGTGGTTTCAGCTTTGCTCGCCCTAGACTTTCTTTTCCTTTTCGATCGGCTGTTCTCTCGGGACAGAATTTCGGATATAATATTGTTGTCGATCGGTGCCACCTGGGACGGTCGATGAAGCGAAAGATTAGAAAGAGGTATTAAGAATGTCGTCCGAGGGAGTGACAGGGTCGTAGTAGGTCTCGAAGGGAAAGGAAAGTGTAAGCAAAACCGGTGGACCAGGAAAGCAGACCAGCGCTTTTGGAAGTTTGAAGAAATTGACACACAGTGAACGGGATGAAGAGAAAAGAAGAGAAGGGGCGGGAATAGAGCAGTGAAGGTGGGAAACAAGCGAGCAATAAAGAAGGTTCACTTTAGCCTCAGTAAGGTAGGTATCTTGCCGCTCTCCCATGGCGTAAGGTATCTCGCCGCCCACCCACGCATGGCCTTTCTCATGTTCTGCTACTCGGGAGGGGTCGGATCGACTTGGGTCCTTGCTGGGGATTGTCTGCGGCTAGCTTTCTTTCCGTCGTCGGTTCACACGGGAGCCCACAATGCGGGTAACAAGATTACGCTCGACCACAAAGCTTCAGACCCGACAGGGGTACATGGGTACAGTAAGCAGGAGTTTACATCTTATCCGTACTGGGGGAGGAGCCCAGTCCAGGGCAAGCCGCAAGCCGCAACAACTGTAGCGCTTGCCTGGAAGAGCGTGTGTGTGCGCGCACGCGGTGCGTATCATGGAAGACGGGAAGGGGGATCTAGCGGGCAAGCCAAGTCAAGAGGTGGATGGTACCCCTTGCCAATGGCGTCAAGGGGGGTGCATGGTTGGAGAAGATGGTGAAAAGTTCAGATGACAGCGAGGCTTGCCTCGTCCTTCGGAAAGCCCCAGGTACCTTACGAAGTAGGGAACGTCTGTGAGTGGGAAGGAGAATGTGAGTGTGAGTACTCCGTGAACGAGGCAGAGGCGAGACTACGCAGCGTGGGCACTGGTGGGCAGGTGCAGCAGTAAGGGCTACGGAGTACGGAGTACTCTCTGCATGTTTCGTTTCGCTGCGGTCCAAACAAGCTCGACGAATCGGCAGAGACTCGAGGGCCCAAAGCACCAATCAGGCAACATAAATCATTAAAAAACAGGGGCCAAATAGGAATGGGCAAGGGACTTGATCAACTCCTTAGATTAGGATGAAGCCCGTTTCCAAATGTTGCAGCGACCCCCTGCCGAGCTTGTTTTTGCGCTTCTTTTTTACCCGATGACTTTGTTGTGTAATGCAAGGGTCCTGCGGGCGGTGACCCCACCGGGAGTCCTGGGGGGAGAGAGAAGTAGAGGTTCCTGAGTGCCCTCGAGGAGGTCAAGAGGTAAACGTAACTGAAGGCCCCCTCGCTCGCCACTGTTTTGGCATTGCAGCCGAGCCAACTTTGTTGCATCGTGACCCCCAGCCAAGACTAGACGTTGACCCGGGTCACGGACGGGCCGTCGACCGAAACCAATGTGATACGTCTCCCACGTCAGAAACCCCGGTCCGTGAACGCCCGGACCACTCTGTCACTGGCTCCTGCTGCGATTATTGATTGGTCGCCGCCCGGGTGGAGTCTCTCCCGGCAGAACCTCGCTGGGCTTAGCGCGGGTACGTACTCGGCCATCTGCAGGAACGTTCTCTCGGTAACGTCTCTTTCCATTGCCTCAATCCTCGCTTTCTGAGCCGCCTTTCTTCAACTTCCCACGCCGGTCTCTTGTTTCCGTCCATCCCACACCGCCGAGGCCAGACAATCACGCACCACTAATCCATTCATCCATCCATCCATCCGACAACTCGCGTTCCTGGGCAAGGCTGCAGGCATGTATTCAACTCACCCGGGCGTCGTATACTGCCGCTATCCTGCGACACGGAGACGATGCTCATTTCCACTGCGATCGACGCCTTTCTGACATTGCCAACTGGGTGATGAAAGATTAAGGACTTCAGATCCTCCTTTCGTCTCTCGCCAAGGGTGTCACGCTCCGTTGGTCTAGGGCCATGATCTGCAAGCCCCGGCTGCCAGAGGTTATCTGTCTTGCATCGTCAATCACAATTCGTGATCTTGACAGCCAGAGCACTGGCCTCGACCGGCCTCCTAGGCGTCCTCTATGGGAGAGCTAGGTAGGTCGTTGGGCTGACTCGAGGGTGTCTAGCTTTCTAATCTGACTAGGCCATGCAAGGAGTTGAGAAACGAATGACCACCAACATGTACTCGTGATCTGGCTTTCTTGGAAACGACCGCAAAGCAACCCCAGATCTAGCCTTTCACCCAGCCTAACGCCATCAAGCTCCTCGCAGCCCACTAGTAAACGGCCATCCCACTCTTGAGGCCTGCTACACGAGGGCGGCTCTGCAACCAAAGCACTGACCTTGTCACTTCATGGACAGCCTGTTTTCCGGCCTGGTCCTAATTCCAAAACGCCTCAATACACTAGCCACTTAAGCTTATCGGCAATGGAACACCTCGAGCTGCCTGCGGGCTGCCTCGGCAGGGACTTAGAGATTCAGTGTTCCTCGAGTGTGTTAACAACATTAGGCTCGGGAATCTTACTCGGCAGCGTCCAATAGCTGGGCCAAAATATGCTCTACAGCCACATCGAACTTCTATCAGGCCATGGCATCCACAACTCGACCTCCGTTCAATCTTCTCCTTTTCTTTCAGTCCATCCCAACGACTCGACACCGGATGGTCACTAACCACATAGCCAGACCCGTTCTTCCACGGCTCGTTTCGGCAAGCCAAGACCTTGCAGGGCTTGCAAACCGTTTCAAAAGCCTTTGGAGGCTCCAAACCATTCTTTTCGTCCCAACTCGCCATTTGTGAGCAAAGAGAAGGGAACCCATCCCATTTCTCTATTGCCCGGGGAGCCTGTCTGGGTCAACTCGACCAGGCTTTCATTCCGTCTACCCGTGACCCGAGTCGTATGGGAGCCACGACCGCCACGCTCATCATCTCTTTCTTCAAGCCCTTCTCATCACCCATCCCTACTAGCCAGAGAGAAGAAACCTCCGAAAAGCCCGCCCCTTTCGCAAGCACACCCCTGTTATCAACCTTTCGAAACTCGAAGACTGGCCCCGGTTTGCCTTGCTTGAACCAGTACGACATCATGACTCCAGCATCGTTTGCTAGCGTACACCATATGCGCGCGCCTGACACAAACGCAACCCCTTCGTCCTCACCTGTCTACCTCTCTACACTGCGTGTCGGGCGCAAGCCCATTTTGTGGATTATCCCACTCGCCGACTCGTCTTCGGACAGCTGAGCATCCCGTTCAAGCCTTCGGAAACAACTTTTTCTTCTTTGCCCCGCAGCCGTTTGGGCCACGGCATGCTCGGAGAGAAATAGCGAAGCAACTCTCCTCAGGTTCCGGCTTCTCGGTAGGTAGCGCGCTGCGCCTCCAATGCCAATATGTCAAAGGTCTGTGAGCAATGCCTGAAGAAGCAATGTCGGGAGCCCGGAAATGTCAAGCAGCGGTCGACAACGGCTCCGGTCTCTCAATCCTGCGAGCCGGGCTTGGCGAATTCGCATCTTTTCTTATCCAACGGCTTGTCAAAAAAAGATCTCCCACTCTATCTATGTGAAGACGACGATCAAGCCGGGCCATGCTGCTTCAATCCGACGAAAAATTTAGTCTTCCGTCCCTCTCCTCCCCCCCATCGCGCCCCTGGCGATCGCCGCGCAGATCTCACAGGACATCAGGTAATCTGAACTTTGGACTCGTTGCAGATCCCCCGTCGTGGAACTCGGAGAGGGGGTCAGGAATACAACCATAACCAGGAGTTTAACACGTAAAGGGCCAGGGGTTCCCTCGTCATCGGGGTTATAATGCTTCCATTTCACCCTTTGCTCCCACAAACTTGCGCCGTACGGTCGAATTAGAAACCTTGCCCAAGTTTTCCCTACTCATGCAACCTCGTACGAATCCTTTTTCATGGTCACAAAAGGTCAGGTCCCTGTGAAGACGGGAAGTTTCTCCGTGCCAAGAAGTCCACGATTGCGATGGGACTTGTTGTGCCGCCCTCTGACAGCCCGTCTGTGGCGACGGATGCAGCGCAACTGCAGCGTCGCGCTGCGGAATCTCGTCGAGAGATTCGATACACCTGCGAATAGCATCGTATTCGCGTTTGCGCTAGTGCTGTAAATCGTACCTATGAGGAAATAAACATGAATGTGCAGCCAAGTAATTGCTCAAGCTTTGGACATGGAGATGTTGAAATACCCACTGTCCGAACGGCGGCCTCCTCAACTCCTCCAGAGGGTCGCATTGGATTTTTCCCTATTCCCGAGCCCATTCAGCGCCTCACGATCCCGTGTCTCCGGTCCACCACCAAAGCCCATCCCACGTCTTCCTTTGTGCAAGGTGTTGTCGTCCCCACACACCCCCGATCACCGGCATAAAGTCATCACGTCAATTTTCCAAACCGGCTCTCTTGTCAACCACCGCAGCTGAAACTCTACCGAAGTTCCTCCCCCTGGAACCCACGCACCACAGGAGTCCAACCCGCTGACTCTGCAACGCGGCGCAAGGGTAGCCCTGCTCACTCCGCGTGGAAGACGTATAATCTCGCAATCTGCAGACGCCATGCCTCTCCACATGCCTGGCTGACCACTCGCAGCTTTCGAAAGTATCTGGGCGATCCTTCAGTTTTCAAGACACTGGTTGCGCGTTACAGTGTGTGCAATTGGTGGTACCATTTTGACTAACTCATGGGCGCTATCTCTACTATTTCATCCACCGCCCTCCTCTCGACTTCAGACTTCAGGCCTATTGTGCTATATGACTCATCCAGGGACGAAGATATACTGGCTATTACTCCCTTCCCAATCGCAATGTATCATCCCTCTTCTCACCCAAACTTTTTCTACACCACTCATGATGCATCTTAGTCGATGACGAGGCATAATGTGCCCGCCAATCTCTGGGAAACGATCATCACACCGTGTCCCCACACGGGACAGGTAATGTCAAGACAACTCCTTTTTACAGAGCATAGGGGTTCAAAGACCGAATGGTCAAGCAGCTACTTCGAATTAGCACACGTCTCCAGACTTTGATAGATAGTTGTAAACTTACGGTGGGCTCTTGGACAGATCCGTCTTGAGAATCACAGGAACCCTGCTCATCTCCGTGACGTCCTGAATGTACTCTCCTCCCTCCTCACGCAGCTTGAAAAGCTTGAGGTACTTCTCCTTGTTCGACAGGCGGGCCTCGGGGGCCTCAGGTGCGGGAACCTTGGAGTCGGACCTGGTGCGTTGCAAGGGCTTGGCATCGGATCGGGTTGGGGAGCCGGGGACGCTCTGTGTGGGTCTCTCGGCCAACGAAGCTCCAGCCATGGCCTCAGTAACGTCCGACGCATTGTCGTCATCGTCGTCGAAAAGGGCATCGACGTCGTCAGTAGAGATGGTGCCCGTCTCGGTCTGCTTGCGTGCAGCCTCCTCCCTCTCCTTCTTGGCACGCTCTGCAGCTTCCGCTTGGCGAGCAGCAGCAGCAGCGTTGGCGTTTCTTACAGACGCAGCAGCCTTGGGACGCTCGTCCTCCGGTACGTAGGCGGAGCTGGGCACGCCCTTCTCCCAGTAGAGCTCAAGGACTCTCTTCTCCTTTCTGAATTCGGCCTTCTTGAGAGGCAACTGGTCGCAGTGCACCCGCTTCTCAAAGCCCCACTCGGGAATGAGAACGTCAAAGGCCGACTCGTACACGCAGAGGACGATACCCTCCGTGATGAGATCGCCGTTGACCTGCTGGCGCTTCTTGTCCATCTCACGGCAGGACTCAATGTGAATGCTCTGCTCCTGGGCATTCTGTGCGGAGTCCTTCTTGGTGTTGCAAGACTCAATGGTCTTGACAAGGCTCTCCAATTCCTCCGTGTACTCAATTTTACCCTCGGAGAGAATAGACTCGAGCTGACGGTGGACGATGATGTCGGCGTAGCGCCGCGTGGGGCTAGTGAAATGAGTGTAAAGAGGCAAGTTGAGGGCATAGTGAGGCCACAACTGCTTAGCAGTCTTGCCGGCAATGAAGTACTTGGCACGTTGCATAGACTTGAGGACAAGCGTCTCCATTCCCTTGCGGATATCGGCGTCGTCAACCTTGAAAAGGCTGTTGTGCATGCTTCCGCTGCCAGAAGTCTCAACCTCGTAGCCAAGGGCGTTCATGCGATCGGCGAAGGTCTGAAGGCGACGAGCATTGGGGGGGCCCTGTCGGCGCAGAAGAGCCTTCTCAGGCAGAGCCTGGGCGAGACGCTGGGCAACGTAAGTGTTGGCCTTGTGCATGAGCTCCTCGACGAGCTCAGTGGCAGGGGTAGAATCGAAGATGTTGTGCTTGATGGGAATGTTCTCATCATCGAGTTGCTGCAGAAGCCTGAGGGGCGCGATAGGCTCACCGCCAGCACCAAGACGGGCCTCGGTGAACTTTTGAGCGACAGCCTAGATAATGTCAGTGCAGCTCAGATGCAAGTTTCAGTGGAACTTACGTTAAGGATCTGGACATCCTTCAGTTGAAGAGACTCGTGCTTCCAATCGGCCTGACCGTTCAGAGCCGAGTCGATCTCCTCAATAGTGATCTTGGCAGTGCTCTTGATGATACTCTTGCCGATCCAAGTGTCTCCCTCGGCAACAGAGCCGTTGTGAGGGTTAACACGGAAGAGAACACTGACAGCCAGACGCTCTTCACCAGGAGCCAAAGAGCATACCTCTCCACCAATCTTGGGAGGAAGGAGTGCGCATGTGCGGTTGACCAAGTGAACGGCGGTGCCGCGCTTCTTGGCTTCTCGGTCGACAAGCGAGTTGGGCTTGACGAAGTGAGTAACATCAGGAATGTGAATACCAATGTCAATCTTGCCATCAGGCTGAGTCTTGATGTGGATGGCATTGGCAAGCTCGGGAGAACCGTTGAGGTCGAGCGTAACAACCTTCTCATCACGGAAGTCCCGGCGAGCAGCCAAGGCAGCCTCCTCTTCCTTAGCGAGAGACCAGTCCTGAAGGCCGACGCTGCGCAGCACAGCCTCGGAGAACTCATCGGAAGAAAAGTTGTTGTCGCGCAGCAGAGCGTCGGTCTCCACCTTAAGGTCGCCCATGCGGCCCAACTGCTCGACAAGGGTGCCGAAGGGATGCAGAGAGGTGATCGGCCAACGCTTAATGCAGGCAACAAAGATGCGATCAGCGTAATCCTGGTGCTTCTCGACGAAATCGCGCGGCGCCTGCTCAGTCGGAATGGCAATGAGCGGCACGCGCTTGTCGGTTGGCTTGAACCAAACAATTTTGGGCTTCTCCTGCGAACGGTTGTCGTGGTGGCGGTTGTTGCCTCCATCTCTGGCGGCTCTCTCCGCTTCCTGCTTCTCCTTCGTAGCCTGGCTGCTGGGACGGAGCAGACCGAGGTTGCCCGAGAACATTTGACCAGCTACACGTTCAACGACAGCCACAATGTGACCTGCGTACAGGGGCTTGGCCTCATCGTTGATTTCCTCCTCCTCGACGAGAAGCAGGCTTTGACCCTCAACCTCGACATCGTCGTTCTTCTTCTGAGTGGGGCGCTGGCGCAGACTGCCGCGACGACGAATGCCGCCCTCCTGCTGCGTGTTGTCATCGTTGTTCCCGGATGACTGGTTCTGGCCGTTGGTGGATCCAGAACGGGTGTCGGTGATGTCCTTGCGCTTCTTCTTCTCTTCCTTCTCACGCTTCTGGGACCAAACTTCATCAACATCTAGAAGCTCAACGGCAACCAAGTCACCCTCGAGGGCACGGTTGCGATCCTTGCTACCGCAAATAAAGATATCAGCATCAAGCAGGCCGTCCTGAGTGGAAACGTAGGCATCGCTGCGGTTCTTCTTGTTCACGCGAAGAATACCAGACACGAGCTGCCCATCGCCAAGAAGAGCCGGGAGGGTGGCTTGGGGGAGGTAAGGAGTGAAAAGAGTCTTCCTCTGCTGTTGCTGCTGCTGGTTTCCACCAAGCTGGCCACCATGCTGGCCGCCCTGAAGGCCAACGAATTGCTGACCGCCCATCTGGGCAGCCTGAAGGGCCTGAAGTTGCTGGATCTGCATGGGGTTCAGTTGCTGGCCCGGGTACATGCCCATGGGGAGCATGTTGCCAGGCATCTGCATAAGCTGAGGCTGACCGGGGTATTGGAATGCGCCGATGTTGGAGATGGACTGGTTTACAGAACCACGAGTGCGGTGGCCCGGCTGGAAGCCGCCCTGCTCCTGGCCCTGGTTAGCACCCTGGTTGCGCCAGTTTCCGTCAAAGTTGCGAGAGCCGGTTCTGGCGTGACCACCTCCGCCAGTCTGGCTGCCGCGACGACCAAAGTCGTTCTGGCTAGCATCACCAGAGAAGCCACCGCGACCAGCGGCGCCGCCGCGACCGTTCACAGCCATACTCTGGCTGCGACCATGGCCACCGCGCCCACGGCCGGCACTGGTGCCCTGAGCAATCGGAGCCTCGGGTTGAGTCGGAGCGGGGGCGGGGGCGGAACCACCCTCTGCGCTGGCCTCAGTGGAGGGGGACATTGGGAAGGAGAAGCCGGATGTCGTGCGCTTCTGCTGTGCGATTTCTGCCGCCTTCTTCGCGTCGGCAAGCGCCAAAGAGTGACGTCGCTGGTGTCCACCGCCGCCGGCACCACCACCACGACCGCCACGGCCACCGGAGTTTTCCCTGCCGGGACCGGCGCCGGAGGCATCATTGAAGTTCGTGCCGGATGCACCAGAGGAGGGGGCGGGAGGAGGACCCATTCCCATGTTGGGGAGTGCCGACTGATTACGGCGATGTGACATTGGCTGGGTCGGAGGACCGCCCATGGAGACATTCTGCTGCGGAATCTGCTGGGGGAACTGGAAGGCGCCCTGGGGAGCCATGCCGGGCTGCAGGGGATTGAAAGCACCGCCTGGACCGAGCTGTTGGGTGGGGGGCATCATTCCCATGTTCATGTATTGTTGCTGCGTAGCTTGGATCTGTTGCTGCTGTTGCTGCAAAAGCTCAATCTGCTGCTGAATAGCTAGCTGTTCCACTGCAAAGCAAGACTCATTGTCAGCATCGATGTTCAATTTGGTATGATGAAACGGATGACGCGGGGTCGGGGGCATCGCGCAGGAGCCGCAAGATCATGTGTGAAGATGGGAGAAATGATGGAAGAAGATGCGAATCAACGTACTACCCGGGTTGGCAAACATGCTCATCAACGGAGTCAGCTCGGAAGGGCTTCTCCTGTGCGCAATGTGAAGCCGTCGGCCGGTTGGGCCTGGGACGCCGCCGGTTGGCTGCTGCGGCGGCTGCTGCTGCTGTTGTTGCTGCTGCTGCTCCATGATGGGCAGTCACGCAGATGAAAGATTGGCTTCTTGTTTTTTTGTATCTTGTAATGCACGTCAAGTGCGTCGTTGGTATAAAGGACGGATGGGGGTAGGATTGATAGCGTCGGATACCGAGTGGTCGGCGTAGGCGTCGATGAAGCTTTGTGGGATGATGTGGCACGTAAGGTATTGACGTATGTAGTTTGCGGACTAAAGACAGTGGAGAACTGGGATGGATGTGGTTTTGGGCTCTTGGTTGGTCTTTTGGATTTGTGGACGTGGTTGCTTCTGGTTCAAGGAAGGTAGTTCTTGTTTGTCTGATCGATCGATGAGGGATTGAAAATGGAATGGATTGGGGAGTGATTGGGAGGAGAGGATTGGATGTCTGGCGAGACGGAGCGAGGTGGAAGGGAAAGGAGCTCGCAAGGAGTGTGCGAAGTGATGGTTGAGGTGGGAAAAAAAGGATGAGGCAGACAAGACGTGAAGAAGAAGATGAGGCAGGATGGGAATGTCCTCTCTGGGAGAGACTGACGGGGGGTTTGTTGCGAAAGGCGAGTCGGGTCGGGGGGGTGTGGAGTGGGGAGGGGGGGGAGCAGACCTGAGGAGAGAGAGCGAGCGAGGAGGAGGAGCAAGGACAGCAGTAGCACCCGCCCCGGTGGAGGAGGGACAGGCAGTTGCAGCAAGAGCCGGCCCGCCTGGTGGGAAGACTCAAGACACCGGGCCAGTCCCGTAGCTAAGGTAAGTATAAAAGTACCTACCTACCTTACCTCACCATACGAATGCCTTCCCACCATTGGGTACGAAGCACACCTCCCAGGAGCACAACTGGCACTGGAAGCTGAGCCGCTGGTAGACGACAAGGTACATGGTGCGCTAGTGATTTACCAGAAGGCAATAGCACACATGGCGGCCCTGTAGGGAGACAGACAGGTCGTACCCAGGCGAGGTAGGTAGTCCAAGTATCTTACCTTACGTAGTCAGGCGGGAGACGCGGCGATTATGATGATGACGATGGTGGTACAGGCTGCTGCTTGGTTTGATCTTGTCTGCAGCAGAAGCTTGTGCACTCGTGCTGGACTCTACATGTGTTTCTGCTAAAACATCCCTTCCTTCACAACTGGATCCGAAATGCATCATTCGCACCTCGAGCTCTTTTCGCAATCCCATCCAAGGGTCTCGTATGTAGCTATCCCAACCAGCCCAGCTTGGAAATGCCTCCAAAAGTCGAGGTAACGACAAAATCCAGGCCAGGTATCCGTAGGTACCTTACCCCAAGCTAGAGGTACATGGCTGACGGCTTGTCCCCAAACATGGCACTCTAGGGGCGGATAGGTAAGCAAGGAAGTACCTGTCCCCCGTGCCCCCGAACGAGCCTGACTTGGGGTCGAGTGCTTTGTACCTTGTGGCGGATACTCTGTACGAGAGTACATACCTACCCAAGGTAACAAGACTCAGTCAGACGTCTCCAGTCAGTCAGGTCTCGACGCGGGTGGGGAGAGTCCACGCCGCACCTACGCTGCACGCCAGGTCCAGAGACAGAGCCAGAACCAGGTCAGGGCTTCCGGGTTCGAGGACAGGTAACAGGTTAGCCGCTCGGATACTTTGTTGATCAGTACCTTGCCGTAGTGCACCACCCTGACTTTGACCTGTCGCCCATCTCACCCGCACCACAGTCGTCGTCCCAGACACCTTACGTAGGTGGGCAAGGAGCGAGCCGAGGGGGGTTGACTCTCAGTCTCTACTGCGTAGTCTCGAGTCTCTCGAGGGCTGGGCTGGAACTGGGACTGGAACGCCCGCCAAGTTCCGTCTCCTGCGGCCCTTTAGTCTCGCACACTGGCACTGACTACTGACACAGTCAACAGCATGACTACCTACATGACCTTCCCTTATGTACGCATAAAGCTGCTAGCAGCACAAACGAAATACTTAGGGCCAGCAAGTCAGGAACCTTGGCTTCGTACCTCGGGGCAACAGGATGGTCAGCGGCCGGCGAGCGGCGGCTACTTACTAGGTACATTGGCGTCTACGGGGGTGCTGCGCGGTGGGCAAGCCAAATGCAGGGCTCAAGTCAAGGGGGGAACAGGAATACGCCAGTGTTTCCGGATGGATACCGCATCGTTGGACACCACACATCAACAGAACCCCTACGCCGTACCGTACCGTACGGATACCTGAGCGAGGCTTGCAGGCTGCAGCAAGCTCTCCTGTCGTTGCGTTGCGTTGCGTTGCGTTGCTCTGGTCGGTCCCCCAGCCATGAGGACCAGGAAGCTCCGGGCAATGGCAGCATGGCAGCATCCCTCAGTCATCATTCATCAGAGCTGTGATTGACATACCCAGGTATTCCCCCCAGTGCAACGGTGGAGTTTACTACGTACCTCCCTGACAAGATTTCTCCTCAATGGCATCACACACTCTATCTGAGCAGGTATCGGTACGAATACTAGGTTGAAGATTCTCTTCCCCGTCATGCCCAGCTCTCGGACGCTCCGTCCAGTCTACGGTCGTGTTGGCTGTTGCCGATTTTCATTTGTCAGGCCAGCAAAACCGAGAGGGAAAGTCAAGGCGAGACGGGCCAGATCCAGACTTGAGCCGACTCCCCAGTTGGAAATTGGGGCCGGGTCCGATTCCAATTGCAAAATTTCAACGACATGACAGGAATATTCACTTTTGTTCATTGACCTAGACACTCCGTAAAGTATGAATGCACTTTTGGTACGGATAACGATGCAGAGACCGAGGAAGTTCGTACTCAGTTCTTGACCGCCCGGCAATAAATGTGACTGCCCGAGTTCGGGCTAATGCCCCACTTTGCGGTCCGACCAAACAGCGGGGACGCTATGCTCCATTCTGCCAAGATTCAGAGCTATCATTCGTCCATCTAGCTCCTACTGGGCCCACCTGGGTCGCTACCACGGCGACGTCTCTTCTTCGTTTTTCCTGAGGTCTGGTCAATTGCTGCTTCTTTGGCTGCTCTGCTGCTGACTGCTCTGCTCCATCACTTTGGTCTGCTCGTCTGCTCACCCACCCCATGGAGCAAAAAGGGTAGAGCTGCAAGCAGCAACACAGGTCCAGGCCGACAGCGCAACAAGGGTCGTCGCCTTTTCCCACAGCTCAGCAACAGGCCCCCCCCCTCCCCAATTCACCTCAAAGAGCCCCAGGCCGCCGCGAACGGTAGCATTATCCCACATCAAAGCGCGCCTGATACATCGTATTATTTTTTGTTGCTCCACACCAACGCCGCGCCCAACCTGAACTCGACAGTACCTACGCCTTCTACGACATACCTACCGTCAACCAATACCTTGTCCGCTTGACGACACCACTTGACCCAAACGGCCCCGAAGACGTCAAGAAGCACAGCCTCGTCTGGACTCTCTCAGAAATCGCCCGAGCCTTGCCTTGCCTTCCCCATCCAACCGCCCACCCGCGGACGTCACTCTTTCTGATCGGCCGTTTGTTGGTGTGTTGGGTCCTTGGGTTTTGTTGATTTTGTTTCTCTCGGTTGTCGGTGCAATTTTGCATCCCGCGCCTGACCCCACCGCCCGATGCCGTAGGGCCTGGTCTCAATTCCCACCTACGACCACACCATCGAGACCATTGGTAGCCAACTGTGCGACCAACCATGGCGCACTCTTCTCCTTCGCGGAGAAGCCAGCACGATAGCAACATCAAGTCAAGCCCCGAACGAGGCTTCACAGCAGATTTTCTCTCCGAGAATCGTAATTCAGAGCTGAGCCATCGCGATGCCCTCGCCGCTGCCCAGCTCGAGCACGAGCGTGTTCGCCTCGCCGCTTTGAGGGTCTATGAGGTCCACCAATTGCAGGAGGAAAAGCAAAGGTTGGAAGCTGAGCAAAGGAGGATAGCACAGCTACAAAAAGAGGAAGAAAATCGCCTCAAGGCAGAAGCAGCAGTGCGCGCCGAGCAAGAGAGGCTGAGAGAGCTCAAGGCCAAGCAGATTCCTCAACTCCCTCCCGAACCCGTACCTGAACCGCCCAAGCCGGAGCCGAAGAAGTCGCAAGAATCTCAGGTCAATGGCACAACGGCGGCCAAAGCCGAGCCCGCTGCTGTGCCGCCGGCCGCACCAAAGCCAGCCCCCTCGACAACCGCTACGACATCAGCTCTCCCAGCCGCGAAGGCACCTACTGCAGCGCCTTCACCAGCACCCGCACAGGTCGTTGCTACGCCGTCAACCCAATCCAATGGTTTCCTCACGAAGCCCGCAGCAGCGCCTCCAGCCCCGAAGCCCGCTCTTCAGCCTGCCGCGCCTGCACCAGTGCCAGCTCAACCGACTGTCGACAGGTACACCCAGATACACCAAGCTCTCAAGAAGCTGCGAAAGGACGTCGAAGCCCTGTCGAAACAGCCTGGGAATCCATTGAAGGGCAAGTTGGGAGAAATGCGGAGACAAATCAGGAAGTCTATTGGGCAGCTGACTGCTGGCAAAGGAGCAAACGCGCAACCCGTAAGTCTGGTCTTGTTGGTGTCACAAGACAAATGCTAACGATGTCTTAGCTTGCCACGATCAATGCCGCACTGCGCGAATCTCTCGGCGGCCAGGTCCCGTCACCTCTAATCGACGCAAGCATATACGTGCAGCAAAACAGGGAGCCAGCCGAAGGCGCTGTTAACAACGGACCGCAGCTACCGGCCCTGTTCATATACCTCCTCAACATCCTCTCCAAGGCGATCATCCAGCAGTTCTCCAACGAAGGCGGCGCGAACCCAAAGTCGGCCGAGCCGGTCGGCATCGTAACGGCGCAAATCTTCTCCAACAAGGACTACCACTGGCGCGGCGGCTCCATGATCGACATCCTCATCGCCAAATTCCGCGTGGCCTGCCCCGTTCTTTTTGGCTCTAGAGGCAGCGATAAGACGGAGGGCGGCCGCAGAGCCATTGGCTGGAAGAAGGAAAACGGCAACTGGGTGCCCGAGCAGGCGCACAACGACAGGATGACGGGTCTTGGCGCCGGCTTCGCGGCCATTGCGCTCCGGGACTTCAGCAAGGCGTCCAAGACGAACCCTTACCCGCCGACAAACTACTGGAAGGCCATGGCGCAGATTGTCAACTCGCCGCCGCAGCTCGTCTCCAACACGCAGTACGTGGTGCTCAAGTCCATGATTGACGGTCACGAACAGCGCTTCATCAACTTTTACGGCAATGCTGCCGTCGCGGCCCTCAGGATGGCGTTGGTGGAGTTTCCTAAGAGAGCCCCTCCGGGGGCCACGGCCGCGCAGGCGTTGCAGGTCCTAGGCGACGTTTTGAGACGAGACTCTGGGTTAGATGTGGCATAGATGGTGGGGGGAGGAAACAAAAGCCAAGGTAGACGAATTACCTTTTGTACACATACATGAGAGGCATGGGTTGCCAATATTGGGGAAGTGCTTTCAAGGGGGTACACATACTATGGCGTTTCTGGACATCCTGGCATGGGGGTGCTTATACACCTAAAAGAACCAAAACAGCAAGACTTCACAATGACTTGCGATGAGCACGGGGTCTGGGCTTTGGTTTGGCTCATCCATTGAAGCAAGTTGGGGCGGTCTGCTAGGGAGGATACAAAGACACGTACTCTAGACATTGCGTATCGTGAGTTGGATGACTGAGATCTATCATAGCCCCCAGATGAAAGGCTCTCAAAGTAGTAAAAGACAAAAAACTTCATTGACAATAGTTCCAAACACGCTCCATAAACTCCCAAACCCTCACTTCAAAGAGAAGCGGCATTTCGCCATCACTCTTCCCTTTTTTGTCGTCTTCTAATGATTCCCAAATCCCTCCAGCCATCCATCATTACTTCGGTCTCGCCGGGCAGCAAGCCAATGATACTCTCCCCCTTTTTTTTTTTTTACAAAATCAACAACAAAATAAGCAACAAGATCAGCACAAAAATGAGCACGGCGATGCAGCAGCTACTCAGCCGGTCCTCGTTGTGCCGCATCACGTACTGTAGCTTCGCCACGCCCGTCTGCAGCCGCCCGCCCACGCGGTCCGCGACGCCGTCCACGACCTCGAGCATCTCCCTCTGCTCCTCGAGCTCGCGGCCCATGTCGTCCGCCTGCCGCCGCAGGTTGCCCACGGTGCGGAACACGCCGTCCAGGTGGCCGTCCTGCTCGCGCATCATCTCGAGCTGCTGCTGCTGCTCGAACTCGGCCGCGTAGTCGTCGTCGTCGTCGTCGTGGTCTCCGTGGTGGCCGTCGCCTATGGCGAAGGAGCTCGGATCGGGGAGGTCCGAGTTTGCGGCTGAGGATTTGCCCTTGCCTCCTGCCGCTGTTGCTGCGCCGAGCTTTTTGGCGAGCTCCTCGCGCATGTCTTCCACTTCGCCGCCGACATCTTGGACTAGCCTCTTGCGCCGCGTGATTTCTGGGCCGGAGAGGCCAAAGGCTGTGGGGTCGGATTCGACGGCCTTGACGGACTCGACGAGGTCGGCAAGGTCTTCGGCTAGGGAGGCGAGGGCGGATTCGAGGTCGGCGCGGGCGGAGGCGAGTTCGGGGGAGGTTGGGGAGGTTGAGAGGGAGCGGATGCGGAGGTAGGATGTGAATAGGGGTCTGGTTGAGTCTAGCTGGGCGAGGACGTCTCTGTTTTGTGCGTTCTTGGTCAGTATTTTGGTTCAAAGGTGATAGCTAGAGGAAGGATGGTGCCAAGTGGTTGGATGCGAAGGGGATGCGATTGCGTACTGTTGAACTTGGAGGAAGGGATCCTCTTCGTTGGCGGAGGACATCATCCTGGCGAAGGGTTGGAAAGGCGCATCCGCGGACGCATTGGCTTGCGGTTAGGATCTCTTCACAAAGGATGTGGTTTCTAACCAAAGGTTGCAGCTTGGTCCTAGGGTATTGAAGGAGGGAATGCCTATCGTCGAGGCGGAATTGGCGATCTGTAGTCAATCTAGGTACCCTGTTAGGTAAACGCGGCCTGGGATGACGTTTGCGCGTCTGGCGGCCGGCCGGGTCGGGTGGGTGCGAGCTACCTTTACGGACACGGCTACCTCCCGTCCCCGTCTTCCATAGGTGTCCACTTTTGCAGGTCACTGGTGGTCGCAGCTTCGGGGAAGTGTAAGGATACTTCCGGAGATTCTTCGGCACGTTTGAGCATTCCTCACCGAGACATTCCACGTCACCGAAGACCCCTGCTCGACCTCTCGGTGTGCCCCTCATTCACCGAGAAAAATTCCCCTCCATTGACCAATTTAATGTAAGTGGGATTTTCACAACCGCCATTTACAACTCCACATGCTCACTCACTCCCGTACGAAGCTCTCACCATCTTTCACTGAGCCACTCACTGAATCTTACTCATGCTCTTTGATATATCGAATATTTATAAATCACTCAACCCAGGGAAGAGTCACCTGCGCACACAAGAAACACATCATTAAAAGCGCCTCAAACTGAGAAAAAAGATGATACCAGAAAAGCCCCTCCCCTGCTCAGACGAATTCCCCTCGCCAGAAGCCTACGTCGAGGAGCTCCTCGAATTTGCCACAACCACAGACATCTTCCAAATCCTCTGCGGTGGCGTCCACGTCCTCGACTTCTTCACAAACGAAAGGGGCCTCTTCTCCCAGATCCTTCCTCAGGAATGGCAACCCTTCATTCTCTCCTACGGCACCGACGCCCTCCTGGACCTCCTCATGCGAGATGACCTCGATAACTTGCCATTAGACGCCATGACAGTCGCCCCGCCAGAGAGTTTCCTGAACTACATTCGCAGCATCCGCAAGCTCTCTCTTCGCAGGACATTCTCCCCCACCACGTCTGAGAGTAAACCCCCGCCAAAGCTCTCCCGCTCCGTCGCCGTCGGCATGAAGCCCAAGAAAGTCCACGAGGTGGCCCATTTTGCGCGCTACGTCGACTCTCTTGCCGGCTCAATCGCCTCACGCTGGGGAAAGGAGACGACGCATTTCGTGGATTTTGGTAGCGGCCAAAACTACCTCGGCCGTACCCTCGCGCTGCCCCCTTACAACCGCCACGTCGTCGCCGTCGAGGGCCGCGAGCACAACATTGACGGCGCAAAGGGGCTCGACGTGCTCTCCGGCTTGGCGAGCAAGGAGGTCGTCATGCGCAACAAGAAGCTGTGGCTGCAGATGCAGGCTGACAGGCTCGGCACCGACGTTGCCAAGAAGGCACCCGCGAAAGCCTCGCCCGACGCCGCAGCGGCAGCAGAGGACTTTGATTTCAGGCCCATCAAGGAGCTTGAGCCGCGATACAACCGCGCGCTGGGGAAGGGCTCCGTATCGTACGTGGTCGGCAGGCTCGAGAGCGGCGACCTGACCGAAGTCATTGGGCGCATCGAAAAGGAGGTACTCCCGGAGGAATCATCCCAAGACCTCAAAATGATGGCCGTCTCGATCCACTCGTGCGGAAACCTCTCTCACTACGGCATCCGCTCGCTTGTCATGAACCCGGCCATTCACTCTGTCGCCATCGTGGGCTGCTGCTACAACCTGCTCACGGAAAAGCTCGGCCCGCCGACCTACAAGCTGGCCGGGTACGCCCGCCCCAGCCTGCAGGCCCTCAACGGCCGCGTCGTGCGCGAATCGGCGAGGCGGGACCCGGAGGGTTTCCCCCTGAGTGAGACGCTTTCCGGGTACAAGGGACACGGGGTGCGGATGAACATCACGGCGAGGATGATGGCGTGTCAGGCGCCGCAGAACTGGACGCAGCCCGAGAGCGACGACTTCTTCACGCGTCATTTGTTCCGCGCGGTGCTGCAAAAGATTTTCCTCGACCGCGGTGTCATTTCAAAGGTCTACCACCGCGATGCTGCCGCCGAAACCGGCGCGGAAGGCAAAGAAACCTCAAACCAGACGGAAGAGGAGATGGAATCCCCCTTTAACACCTCCACGAACCCCGTCATCATCGGCTCCCTCCGAAAAGCGTGCTACAAGTCCCTCAAGGACTACGTCCGCGGCGCCGTAGCCAAGTTGACGACGAACCGCGAGTACAGCCAGTACAGCGACGTGATCCGCGACAAGATGGCGAATATGACGGACGAGGAGATTGAGGTGTACGAAAGGGAGTACGCCTCCCGCAAGAAGGAAGTCGCGGCCGTGTGGAGTCTCATGGCCTTCAGCGCCACTGTCGTCGAGTCCCTCATCGTCACGGACCGCTGGCTGTTTTTGAAGGAGCACGACGACCTCGTCCGGGACTGCTGGGTCGAGACGGTGTTTGAATATGCGGAGAGCCCGAGGAATATGGTGGTAGTGGGTATCAAGAAATAAGCAGGAGAAACCGAGGGGATGATGCTCGTTTTATCTATCTGGAATTTGGTCTACCGTGTGCCGGGTTTGGCTATAATGCCCTCCGTGACCGGTTCTCATGGAGACATACATTCTCGGCGGGGATTGCTTTGAGCAAGAGCATCAAAGACTGCTGGAAAGTGGCCGACCAGGACCGAAGGAGTCGCCCGGGGTCAACTGCATGTAGCAACGTCACCCACCAATGGCCGCGTACTACCGTCTCGGCAGGAGCTTGGTATGCCCACGGGGAAAGAGCAAGAAGACATAGTCCTCTTCTCCATCCCCAGGTCTGTACCACACAGTCAGCACCACAACGACATCGAGCACGTTGTTCAGCGGCTTTCGGAGATATATCCGTTGGACTTCGGTACACGGCCGACGCCGACAAGGATATATACAATAGAAGGCTCATGCCGCGTCCGTATAGTCAGTCACTGCGGCAAGCGGACAATTCGCGGGCGTCGCTTTGTCCCCCGAGAGAGTCGACGTCATGCATCTCTTCCGTCAGTTGTGTGGTAATGACAAGTCAACTGACGGGCACAAGTCCTCTCACACTCGTAGGCAAAAGAAAAACAAGCGGAGCCAACAATCCCAGCCATTCTGTTCGTAAGGCGTTATTCATGCAGAAATTCCTCACGACAAGTCATCTAGACAGACCTAAGAACCCCTGGATGGGCCAGAGATACATAGCTGTTGCCATATGTGATGGTTGAGGAATGTGGACTATCATAGCGTGCCGCAAGTCTTTCCCGTGGATATTGATATTTCTTTGACCTATGCTTGAGAGTGATGCGAGATGCATTGGCTTTTATACGTTATTCTACGTCGTCGCTCACGCAACATATTTCCATACAGACACCGGGGTCTTATCGCAGGCTTCGTTCACGCTGCTACCATTTGCGCCAGGACAGTAACGGATGCATATGTCTAAGCTAACGTTCCTCCTCATAATTTGACCAACGAGCTCATCCTCCAGCCCTGGCTCTGACCCAACTTCGTAGGATTCACACAATCGCAACTGCGAAGGTACCATTCTCCTGAGATGTTACATTTGCTGTTCTACCAGCCCCATTCACGCCAAGAGTGAAAGCGGCATGTGGGTTACCTCCTGGATTTAACTTGATTTCGAAGGGAACTGGGAATTATGTCAGATGATCGATATCGCTCTAGTAGCACATTTCTGAGCTTACCCTGGGTAGCTGCAAGGTCAAAAGTTTTGAGCTTGGAATCATTGACGTCGACTTTGAACGTCTTGGTGCCAGTTGAAGCTCCGTCCGGGTAGCTAATGGTGTATTCTTGAGTAGATCCGGACGATCCAGACCCGGACCTATTGAGAACAGAAATGTTGTATGTGTTTGTCATGTTTGTAAGGCTTGTCGTAGGAGGAGGATGCGTATTGCGAGGGCTGCGAAACTGTACTTTGAATGAGCCAAGGAATCTGGAAAAATGCAAACAACGGAGAGGATTTTATATATGTGTATCGCAAAAGGATATGAAAAAGCAGAGTATGGCTTTCAGAGCTACCAAAACCTGCTACCGTGTGGGCAAAATGTCAATTGAGCATAACACCGAAACTTGTGAGCCCTCATCACAGTCCGTGGGTGGAAAAATTGACGCAGCCAGTCTCCGTTCTCGGAAAAGTTTACATCAGCCAGCCACTATTTTCAGCTTCTACATCAAACATTGAACAAGTCACGGCTCTTTAGCGTGACTTCTTCTTGCGCCTGTCAACAATCTGTGATGATCGTCAAGCTACTGTCACGACTGACAGGTATTAAGCGACAACTGGATTGCGGCCGCATTCGTTCAGACGTTGTCATCGAACGCAACAGGCCAAACCAGTCAGCAGATGCGAGGCCGTCTGGATCATGTTCTGTGGCTGCCATGTGGTCTGATCTTGAAGCGTTCAGCTAGCCTCAGAAACTCAGAAAGACTTTTACTAGACTATAACTGGTATATAAGCAGAGTGTAGTTGTACACTCCTTTCTACAAGCTTTGTGAGGGGGTTGATGGGACATGGTCAGCGGCCACTATATGCAGCGACAGGCACATACAACAGAGAGGTACTCATGCTCACAAGACGCCCACGAAACGTTGGCAGGCTAACAATGCTTCTTCGGATCCTGTCCAACGAGGTTGACTTTACTCCGTGTGCGACTTCCTCAGGCGGTATATTTAGCCACTCCTTGTTAAGACACCATTCAGTGTGGCTACCATCAGCCCGCCGGATGCATCTCTTGAGAGATGCGCTTGATCTCACTGTGGTACGTTATTTGAAAATTGCCAAGTAACAGCAGGTCACGGCCATGCCCTAACTACTCTAGCAGCTCACGATGCTGGAATATGACACTAAGGTAGCTTATGTATGGACATTGAGGGATGGACGCCCTATGATATAGCGACTCGAGGTGTAGGAAGCATAGCTGAAGATAGAATAACGATAGCATATCGTAACATTGGAGTAGTTGGTAATAGTAACATCGATTCGATGATTACTGGCAACCAAAATTACAGTAATAGATCTCGTCAATCACTCTCTCGAGACTCAGGACACTGATGTCTCACCTGCCAATATCCATGGACCCCTTCAACCTTGGGGTGCGGCGGATATGGGTTTGTCACTTTTAATCATTCAAGCGTGCTAAAATTGATGGAGGCCAGAGGACGAGGCGCACCTCGCTCAGCCCAAATCCGTCATTGGAACGGATGACGGTGGCGATTAGCAAGAATCTACATTACGCTTTAGGATTACATGTCAATTGACGTGCATGTTGAGCACTGCATACGATCATGATTGGGCAAATTGCGGTGATCCCATTCAGCTGAAACTTGACTTTTCCACCGTTCGATCACGTCCGACTACCAGAAAGGTTAGTGCAGCGCTACAAAAACTTCGGCACGGCTCGCAGTGCGGGGCAGTGAGAGACAAAGTTACACATGACTGTCGACCAGCTAGCCACGACCCGCGTTCTAGCTCGGATTTTTAGTAAAGATTACTGTCTTTGGAAAGACTGTCTTGATTCGACTTGAAGGCTTTAGAATGTCTTTGACGAGACGACATTGGATCATTAACATATCCAGGACAAGAACTCGCCCACTATCATTGGTATAGCTAGGGCCGTACATACGTGTCCAGCTGGATATTCATCCGTTTTGGAGTTGGGTAGTGACCCCAGTCACTGGGGAGACCACAACAAGGGCTAAGGCTTTGCAGCTTCGTATACGCTATCTCAATTACTACTAAAACAAGGTTTTGAATAGAGATTTGCGGAAGATTGGAGTCCATTAAAGGACTCGAATCTCGGCATGCTATTCATCCTCAATCTATATCCATAATATTCCTTCTTTCCTACTTTAGAATGTGACATCAAATGTGATGTGATGTTCAGGATTGTTGTTTTCACTCAATGCGGAATTCCTGCATCAAATGCCCATGCGTAAACTTTTATTCTGCTCTGTCTCACTCAGCTATTAGGAGCTGTCAATACGACACACAAATCTAGTGTCCGGTGGGATATCCTTGGAGGCTTCACGCGTTCTGATGGTTCAGGTTCGCCTCAGAATGAGGTACTATCACGATGTGATCTTAGTATTGTACAATTCTGAAGCAGAAGATACAATAGCGAGTCAGACATACATACACGGGTTTCTAGGCACTACATCCGCAGTATGGAAGGTCTGCTCCGAGACATTTACTATGCGTTGTTTCCCAAAAGTTTCGAAGTGTCGTACGGAACTGGACCGGCTCGCTGCCAGTGGCCTCATGAAAACTATAAGTGGTGTGCCGAGCTGAAAGATCCTACTGTCACTGTTTTCAGACTGTCTAGCCTGCATCCATCCACCGGCTGACCCTACACCTGACACTCGACTTCTGTCTGGCCATATTTGTTCCCATCACATTGTGGCTAGCTGAGAGTGTTGCTGTATGCATCCTCAATTCAACTCTGTCTGATTGCGAGATGTGATTGTTAGGCATGTCTGCGCATCGTGTCCGAGGCTGAGTTTGCTCGTGTGCCTAGATGTAGGCTGAGCAAGGCTAGTATTCGATGCATGCATTCTAACTGCCCGTACGTGAGATGTTTGCGATCAAGGCTTTCAATCGATACTATACACCCACAGAAGGTCTACGATATCGACATACAGGCACACAAAACTGACTAGACAAAAAATGGATATTTGAAGGCTCTTTGGACCTCGCTCAATTCAAAATTCGCATCCTCCATCTTCCATCAAGTTCATCTCCTGAGTTTCCAATCAACAATCTTCTATAAAAAACACCTACACTATCAACTAATTCTCATCATGGCCAACGTCAAGATCATCGTGAAGAACGAGAGCGACAAGGTCCAACAGTTTCTCATCTTCAACGAGAAGCCAACGTACTCCGAGTCAGTCGGCAAGGCCTGGACCAACGTCTGGGGCCGCTCACCCGGCACGGGAGCCAAGCACGGCACAACTCACTTCTCTATCGAGGAGCACTACTATGCCGTGTGCGGCATGACCCCCGAGTCTTTGCGTACCGATCTGATTGTGAGAACGTCTGATTGGGACGAGGTGAAGCTAGGAACCAAGACGGGAAAGGGCACACTCGAGTGGCTGGATATTCAAGAGGGAGGTGCCGTCTTCGATAAGAAGAAGAGTGGAGAACTGGAAAAGGATGGTTCTTTCGGAATCGACACCGCCGCTTACGATTTGACCAAGTATGGTGAGCTCTCCTCTCTCTGTCTTTCTCTCTCTCTCTCTCTCCCTCTCCCTCTAGGTCGCTTCTGACCTCTGGTTGATCCACAATCGTATGGTGTGTATGTTGCTAAAAACAAAATTTAGAGCACGCCTTCTGTGGCCTCGCTATGAAGAGTCCGACTCCAGACCAGGGCGAAGTCTTGCCAGTCTCCGTCTGGCGAGCCGAGCCCAACCAAAAGTATCAGATCACTCCTAAGAGGATCTATTACATCTCGACCGGGAAATTCGTTCCTGGAAGGGTCGTAGACTTTGCCCAACTTGGAAAGACCGCGACTATCGACTTCACTGGTAGGAAGCAAAACGTCGCTACGGTGATCTACAACAACGAACTTGACTTCCTTCCTGTGAAGTACAGCTTTGACGATAACATGGCCGACGAGAATCACTACTGCGGTAGCAGGCAAAAGTAAAACCCCCTGTCAAGTACCTATGGAGCAGACCTTTCCAGGGTAATTCGACCAATGAGAGACCACCAAACCAGGCTCGGGTCCACTTATTCAACTCTTTCCCTTTTACCCACACCCACTTCTACCCACTTCCACCCACTTCTACCTAACCACATTACTTTTTTCCCCTACCCATACCTACTTCTGTATTCTGATTTTTTTTTTACTATCTATACTTACTACTTTTATTTTTAGTTTTTATTTCTAACTTTTATTCCGATTATAGTATAATAAACTATTATAATTATTATAATATAATACGACCTAAGAACATTAATATAAAATAGACTAATAAGGCTATAAAATAGTAAATTCGAACCCTTTATTTAAGTTAATAAAGTATAAAATATAATATTTAATAATTATTTATTTTAATTACTTTTTATAATATTAGAATGTTATTAATTAATAATTAAAATTAATAAGGTATATATTAAATACTAATTTCCTTATATAAATCTAATTAATTCAAATGTTCGTTAATTATGTTAGCTATTGTGCCTAAACTACGCTATTAGTGCTTAAGCCCCTGTCTGTGGAGCAATACAAGGCCAGGGGTTAAACTTACCCCTAACACTACAGTAGGGTTATGTTGGTACATGGTTGGACCTCTTGAAGAGAGGGATGATCTCATATCTATCAAGGAATTCATCAAGGAGAGTCATGACTGGCTAGGGTCGACCGTGGGGTTGTGGGCTTGGTAGGACTGACAAATTGACAATGAGATTGGCTAGTAGTGTCTAATGGTAGCTGAAACAGGAAACAGAAGCAGCTCTTAATTCAACCTTACTTGCACATTTCTCGCAATGGGGTGAAACGCCAGTGACAACAATGAGAAGGGACTCGGGAGTAGGGTAGGTGTGCCTCGGTGAACATTCGGTGATTTACAGCGTGGGCAGTCTCACCCGCGGGTTGGAACGACAGCACTGGTATGAGTGGACGACGATGGGACAGCCTAGTAGAACCGCGCCAAAGACCTATCTGGTACTGCAGTACACGCGATATCGAACCATATTTCGAAATTTTCTTTCACATCCTTCGTTAGCCGCTGTTTGTCCCGCCGACGTTGAAGCTACCGAGTCTACATACTCCATAGTTGGCCAGAGCCTAGGTATAAGTCGGCAGACGCTATTCGAGGGACCGGGGGGTGGACAGTCATAGTCTGAGATAACGCCAAAACGTTTAGGCCCTTGGTGAGTCCCCTATCTGTGGATCTGGGAACGGGTACGATCTGCTCCGCAACACCAGAGATAAGTGAAAAAAGCACGGACGAACGGGGGGATCCATCGGAGACTTGAGGAAGCACGATCAAAGGCTAAAAAAAAGGGAAGAAGATGATTGGTGTAGCATTTCTCCAGAGACTTGGATCAGGAAGAAAACGACGAGCAGATGAATGAAAAAGACTCATTGCCCAAAGGTCAAGAGTCGAGACCTCGGCGAAGCTCCGGCCAGATGATGGATCGTGGCAAACCGGTGAGTATCACCTGTCTCCAGCCAAGTGGGCTCATTGAGGGTTTTTGCCTCGTCTTCCGTGTTCTTGTCAGCTTGAGAGTCTCAAGTGCTCTCGTGAGAACTGAGCATCCCACGCCGGCGATGCAGACAATGCCGAATGGGGCAATTGAGCGAGAGCAGAGGTATTCCGCTTGGGTCAAACCCTGTGAACCCCTTATTGCCTTTTGCTCTGTGGGATCATGTTCAATCCGCCATGTCTCATCACTTGAACATATGATACTCAACTCGTGAATGATGATCCAACGTCTTCCCGAAAAGGAGTGCGATGCTGTCATCGGTGTGCGCGGTGACGATGACCGACGTACTGTACCTGCCAATACCTCCCATCTGCATGTGGTGTAAGCCGCGACCGAGTATTCGGGGCACCAAGCTGGACCGATCTGCTCCTTCGACTCCTAGACGCATCGCTAGCAGGCTGAGGAGGCGTCACAAGTCAACCGTCGTCGGGAGGTTGTCGTCGCCGCGACGTCGCCCAACCCATGCTTCTCTGGCGAGTCAGGTTTCCCGACCTCTCTAGGTCGTCGATTTGGGGGTCCATGACCAGCTCTAGCAGCAGCAGGACGCTTAGAAGCGGCCAGGCGAGGGACTTCGCAGACTTGGTACTGGTAGGGTGACATTTGGACGCGGTTGCTGGAGGGATCGGATCCTAGGTTGTAGCTCTGGGATGGGGGTTTTGCGAGTTTGGTCTGGATACAGCGGCCGGGTTGCGGGAGGGGAATAGGAAGAGTGGGATGGGGGCGGACTGTGGAATTGCTGGCCGAGAGGAGCGGGGTTCTCCATGCGCCCTCACAAGTTGACCGAGAGTTGCGCCGTCTAATTGGAGCCGTGGGCGCTCGCCGGCAGGTTGTACTCTTCCCAAGGACCTGTCCATCCCAAACACCTGTCGTTCCTCCTTGGCCCGGCTTGTCGATAATGGGAAACCCGGACGTCGTAGCTGCCACGGCATCTTGCAGTAGCAGAAAGCAGCCGTCCTATTAGTGAGGGGGGTTGACGCAGTACCTACAGGTATTGGACCAGGTATTCCGCCGTATTAGTGAAATTCTTCTGGAGGGAACCCATGCTTCTTGCTTAACCCCGATGACTTTGTGCATGGAGCGCCGATTTCGAAGCAAATCAGAGAGGCCAATTGAGCCAGTTGCACGACCAGAAGGGAAAGGGTTCGGACAAGGTTCAGGAACCGTTGTGATCTGCGGGGGGTCTGGTCCACGGTCCATGTCGGACCTGGGGGAGAAAGGAAACGAAGAATTGCTTTTTCCTCCCTCTTTTCGCGGGCCGCTACACAGGCACGCACCGTGGGCTGGCTGAATCTACTGGTCTGACGCAATGGCGTCGGAGATGAGGTGGGGTGTCGAAGCTGAGGACTGCTATTGTGAAGCTGAAGTAGCGTATTCGAACGAATAGTTAGGCTCAAGGTGTTGTTTGAGCATGAGCATTCGGCGGGATTGAGGGGTTCAGCTGAGGGGATCAAATCCACAACTGCCGTGAATGCCGCTGTCTGCAGACGTGTCATTGTCGAAGACCATCTTCAAGAACCTGTTCCATGACCTGACGTGTAGACCCGATTGAGCATACGGATGCTCAAAAGCGCGGTTGTCGTAAAACCCCCGCGGGGGTTGACAATGGTGAATCGTGATGGCCTTTTTTCCCTCTTCGTGTCTTTCAATCAGCAAGTCGATGCGCATGCCGAGGCCAGCCGCTGATATGCTGCTCCAGGCAATTGGGCGCTCATGTGCGTGTGTTGGTACAGTATCTGTGGGAGAGACGCCCGTCAGCGTTGCTTCCCGTGTGGTGGTGAGAGTTGATATGTGAGAGGTGACGGGCGAGGTAGCAGCAGACCCCAAGTTGAGGTGAGGTGAGGTGAGGTACGTAGTAAAGGGCACGGAGAAGTGGCCGATGCACCCATCCATCCATGATCACCATCCCTTGCCTACCTCACAAAGCAACCTGGAAGCCAGGGCACCTCGTCGTCTTACATCATTTCCATCATGGTTTGATTTGGGAGGGGGCACAGAGTGGCAGAGGGTGAGAAGTTAGAACCGAAAGGGGAAATGGGAAACAAACGTGACTGCTTCACGAGTTACACAAGATGTAAGCGACTTCCCCAGTCGTTCCCCAAAGGTCATGGTCTAATGCAGGTTTTCCGTGCCTTGTTTTCCCATCTTGTCTGTCTTTGGACTCAGAGAGAGGCTAGCAATGCCGTGTTCATATTCAGGGTACGGATACGCCTGCTTTTGATCCAAGGCCAAGGAGTTATTCTCTGGGGTTCTGTAGTCGCTGGCAACTAGCCAAAGCAAGAAGAAAGCAGGCATCTCGGCTACTACGCGAACTACTAAGTAGTAAAGTACCGGAGAACCGCCTAGAGTTTGAGACCCCCACGCTCCCTATTCAACTAGTCTTATGCACGTCGCCCGAAACGGCACTTTGAACCTTTTTCCTTCTGCAGTCTTGCTTCCAGCTCCGGCCGGTTCCTCTTCATGTCCTTCATTGCTGTCCTTCGTCCTTTGAGCAGTCTTCGGTAGGGTAGGTAGGTAGCTAGAGTAAGTCAAGGTGAGGACAAGGCTTCAAGAGTAGTCATCTTAACCGCTCGTTTGCCTGTCTGCCCCATGCCAACCCTGAACGACTCACGACTTGGACATGGACATGAACATGGGCATGGAGGTCACGGTCCAGGTGTCGCGATGGATGGCGAGATGCAAAGCCAGCATGGCGCGGCAAAGCCCAGTCTCATCATTGGTGACACGATTTTACACTTTTGTTGACCATTCCAAGTCACCATTGTAGTGTCGCAATATCTGGCTCGGATGTCAAGGACCAAAGTTAAAAAAAGAGAACAGAAAAAAAACAACGGGAACGCGAGGGTTAGGTTTTCTGATAGTGGAGAGAAGATTGGCAGCGGCTCAACTGTTGACTTACACGGGGTTTCCCATGTTTGGAATGGAGAGAGGGACCCCTTCCCGAGGCGCATATGCCTACCTGACTCGAGAGCGCCCGCCGAACCGCGCTGTGTCTTCACTTCCTCACGGCCGAGGATGGAAAATCGCGAGAAAGCGCCGCCGATGCCCGATGGAAGCACATCTCTTTACCTTTGACGCAACACCCGCAATCAGATAAGAAAAGAAAGAAGACAGTGTGAGACGAGATCTGAGTAGAAGTAGATCCCCGTGAAACTCCCAGCCAGAAAAAAAAAAAAAAAAAAAAAAAAAAAAAAAAAAAAAAAAAAAAAAAAAAAAAAAAAAAAAAAGGAAGCAAAAAAAAAAAAAAAAAAAAAAACAAAAAAAAACCAAAAAAAAAAAAAAAAAAAAAAAAAAAAAAAAAAAAAAAAGGCATAACATCACGAAAAAAAAAAACCCCCACCCGCTTCACCAATTTCGGTCTTACTCGCCGTGGACGCGGCGACAGCGGCGGCGGCGTTGAGGAGAGACAGGCTGGCCGTAGTGCAGACGCCCACTTCCCAAAGATGCAATCATGGGTCTTTCAAAACCTTGTACTTCCTTGAACCCCTGCTCAACCCCGCCATATCATGCTGCCCATCTCCGCCCACACCCTTTTCCCTCTGACCTGCAGAACCAACGGAACAATACCCAGTAGCTCTCGGCGATGATGGGTAGGTAGCCGCGTGGGTTTTGGGTTCAAGACAATGGCGAGTGAAATCACACCGTCCTCGTCATAGTTCGAGACAATACGTCCCAAGACATGCCAATGTCCGCATATAGCCACGCACGAGCTAAGCTTCTCACGAGTTATCCCACGCATAGCACGTAATGTGGTACAAGATAGACGATGGGTTCTTTCATGTATCACATTCGAATCTAAGGGTATAGCCCTCATTCGAAGTATGCGTCGTCAGGTCAAGACTCGGCTTTTGCCGGTGTACTGACCGAGTCTGGCCGTCTTTGAGAAGTGACGATATAAGTGAGATATAGAGGATATCGTCGAACCAGAAGAGAGCACGGCAGCAAAAGAACTGCGACTGGATGGAAACGACACAACCTTTGACGGAATATTCCACTCGACAGTCTCCACAGAGGGTCATGATCCTTCAATGGATTCACGGGAACGCGGTCGATCCCCGAACCCAGAACCGGTGATAGCCACAACAAATGATGTTTCGTCAAACCAACGAGATATGAGGAAATTAAATCACGAAATGCCATCCGCCATCTCGGCGCAAAATCACCGAATCGTCGTCACTCACCCCCCTGGGGCCCTGGCTCCAAAAAGCACAGGCTTTCAAGTTTCAACACTACTGTGACATTACGGACCTCGCCTTATCTGTAACCCCCTCCAGGCCCTCCAGTGGCCCGGAATATCGCGGCAAGAAAAATGAACTACGGGCAGTGAGCAGGCAAAGCCGCAAAACCCATGTTTTTTTTTTTTTTTTTTCCTTTCCATGCTCAGGCTCAGTGCCCATCTGGCTCCGTCCCGTCTCGTCTCAGCCCCCCTTCCTCCCACATACTGCGTGAAGTACATTTCCTTACAGCTTATCTTGCTGTGTAGACTAGGTACCGTGCTCGTCGGCATGTAGACGCACAGATCGTGCTCTAGTGCGCTTTTTGGGACGGCCGCCGCCGCCGCAGAAAGTACGCTGCTGCTGCTGCTTCTGCTGCAGCACCACGCCGCACTCCTACGTACCAAGGCCCATGTGCTTTCTCTTCCTTCTCTTGAACACCCCTCCCACCCCTCCCCTCACCTCATTTGGGCTGTAAATGTATCATGCCCAGCCTGAGGTGAGAAGTAGGTGCCAAAAGTAAGTAGGTAGGCAACCCCCAAAATCAAAAGTGAGTACGGAGTAGTGCCCAGCTTCTGTTGCCTTGCCTTACCCTGCCCACCTTGGACAGTAGCTCGTCTTCAGGGTCCTCCCATACGAACCTAATTCCTCTTTTCCCCTTCCAACGCCTCCTCTCGTGCACTTCCTTTTAACCTTTCCCCATCCCCCTTCCCTTTTGCCTAGTTTTCACTTTTGGGGATTCTCTCTCCCTTTGTTCATTTTCCCGGCTTACACATTTCCTCTACCTTGCCTTGGTAAAGCCTCCCAGTCCTCTTCCTTTTCTTAACACCACCAAGGCATCTGTTTCCCCGCAAACCCATCCGTAAATCAGACGCAAGGGGAATTACAACATCAGAGAAAGAGAGATAACAAGAGACGACTCCCCTGTCAGCCCACGACTACCGAAAGCTTAAACTTTTCCAACGACTCTTGGACTTTTCAAGAGGGCCCAAAAGAAAAAAGACAGACATCGGACCCCGCCGGTTGTGACCAAGGAAACTCCCAACGACACCCGAACCCCCGAGCAGCGTACACTCCGTATGAAAAGATCAAACCGAAGCCGGCTGCAGGAACACCTTTAGTCGCCCCCGTCCCCCTCCGATATCATCCCCGGTGCGCGCGCAAACTTTCAACAACCCATCCGTGCACCGGCGCATCGAGCCTGCTATTTCTTCCTCTTGTCTTTCCCTTTTTCTCGTCAAGAGAACTGTGGCGCACGGGAAAGCATTCTTCTGGCTCTCCAACTGCCATCAGAAGTTTTCGCGTCACAATGAACGCCCAGGTCTCGTTTCTCGTAAGTTTCCCCAACATCCTGTGTCACTCATTGCCCCCCTCCATCTTCATACTGCGCACACGACACCCACACACGACCGCAACACAGGAATGAATCTCTAAAGAGTCACCAAAATGCGGGGCTCTTTACTTCGTCCCACTGCAACGCTGTGTCCCGTCACCGTCGCCGCCGCCCCGAGTTGCACATTGCTCTCGGAGCTAAAGCAGATAATGACACACACAAAATGTCTTGGTTCTTGCAGACCTCTGTGACTCTATCGTGCTTCTCAACTAACACCGCATTTGCGCTCCCTGCAGGATGGCCACTACACCCTTATTCACATCCCCCTCGACCTGTACTCGGTACTCCTGCAGCCCATTCTCCGCGTCCTTCTCCCGCAGACCCAGACCCTCAAGGCGTCAAAAGGAGAGCCGGAACATGAATTAGAAGGGCTCAACGCCGAGAGCCAACATGGCTTCCTCAACATTAGCGTCACCCCCATGGAGTGCTCCATCGTCTGCCACAGCTCCTGGGCCAAGAACGTTTTTGAGCCGGCCATCCAGGATCTCCCAAAAGACTTGGCCAAGTCCGTATCAATATCCAAAGACACTTACCTCGTACTCTCCGTCATCAGCGCCGGCATGGATGCCGCCGGCCGTGTCATGGAACTGACCTCTCCCCTCGCTCTCGCCGGGATTCCCATCTTCTTCATCACCACTTATTACTCCGACTTCATCCTCGTCCCCAGCAAGGATAGGCAGACGGTTGTAAAGGCCCTTCTCGCCCGCGGCTTCGAACTCGCCGACAACGACTCCAACTTTGTCAGCCCCGCCGCCTCGATACACTCCCGCGGACCGAGCCAGACCAACGGCAGCAACGGCGCCGGGGCCCCGCCGCTGACCCCGCCACCCTCCACCATCGCCGAGCTGCAGGTCCGCACCTTTGACCTGCTCAAGAAGCGCAGCGTCGCCCCCTACGTCGAGGACAACCTCCTCCTGGTCCAGTGCTCCGGCCGCGAAACCTCCCAGCTCGGCGGCGAGCTCTCCCACACCCAGCGGCCCTCGCTCAGCCGCCAGGTGACCGGCAACAGCCACCGACAAACCTGGCTCGACAACATCGACGCGAAGCTCTACACGGCCATGATCTCCGCCCTGGCTGCGCGCCCGCGCTTTCTCTCCATCACCCTCGCCCAGGAGGACCCGCCTTCCTTGCTGCTCGACAAGTCGCTGCTCGGCCTCTTTGGCGACTCTCTCGTCGGCGACACCAAGACGAACCTGACGCCCATCTTCTTGGACCTCGAGAGCCTGCCGTTCGAGGCTACGGGCATCGTATGCGGCGTGGCGGGGACCCTGGTGCAGGATATGCGCACGGGAGACAGCGCGGGGCTGTCGTACCTCTCCACCGCCCGGGCCGGGGCCGTCATTCTCGATTGCGAGCAGTCGATACTCGCGCTCGAGATCCTCAAGCCCAAGCTCTTCAAGGCCTGATTTGACTTTGATCGTGCAATACAGGAGGAGGAAACAACTGCATTGCGGAGACATCTGCCAGGTGGGGAATCCTTTTAAAGGAAGGAATCAGAGGGACCACTACGAGTTTTCCACGCATTTCGAGATCTAACGAAGTTGCATGAAGGGAACGATTGTACTAGCATGGAACTGGTATAGGCGGGTTGGCAATCTGTCGTTTTTGTGAAAATTTTCGCGCGCGCGAATTCGGTTTGGCATATTGGCGTTTTACGGAGGGCGGCTCTCTGTTGTTCGATACCAATTTTTGTATGTCTTGTCTTGCGAGAGAACGGGACCAATGTCGGTCCCAAAACTCAACTCGAAGCGATTTGTTCTCCACTTCTTTGGTATCCCCTCTGTGACATCTACAATGCCTATCTTGACGCGGGCAGCTCATGAAGCTCTCCGGTGACGTCCTTCCGCCATTCGGTCTATGACCGACCTCGGTTTCCCCGCCTACATCAATGCTAGAAGTGACATGATAGGCGATCCTCTATATCCAGAGTCCCTCACTTGCCATGCCCCTTCTTCTTCCCCTGCCCCGCCTCCTCCGCCCACCCAGCCTTGACAAACGCATCCCTCGCCGTGCTATTAATCAGCGCGAACCGCCTCGGCCCCAGCTTCTGCCCGCCGTACCACCTCGTCACGACGACCATGACGTCCCACAGGTCCATGAGCTGCATCAGGTGCAGCAGCCGCCCGCCCGCCGCCGTCTCGCCGTCGTCGTCGCAGTCTTGGAAGCTCGTGCCGTTGGGCCCGCGGATGCGCCACGCCGTCATGTTGTGGCTTGCGCTGCGCACCTTTTTGTCCGTGGCGATGAGGTGCTGGACATAACTTGCGGCCTGCTCGGGGGATGTCACGGGCGCGGCGCGCGCGAGGAAGACGGATTTGAGTTCGACAAAGGGGTCGGAGATGATCCAAGGGGGTTCCTCTAGCATGTAGGAAGGCAGAGAGTCAGCTTCTTGGTTCTGGTTCCCGTGCTCTTCATCAAGCCGTGTCGTCGATGCCGACGCCGGTGGAGAGTGTGGGTTGGTGGGTGGTCCTGACGGCTCAGCTTCCGAAACTTCCTCCACGCGTCGGGAGAACTCCTCCACGGCGTCGAAGAGACAGACAGCGCCCGGCTGGTAGACGGCGGCGACGGCCTCGCGGAAGAGCAGCAGGTCGCGGGCGCCGGCGCCGCGGGGCGCGTTCTCGCCGGCGCTGTGGGTGCCGAGGATCTCTGGCGGCACGTCCGGGTACGAGTCGGCGAAGCGGAGGGTGAGCGAGGAGGCACCCGGGCCGCCGGGAAGCGTGAGAACATAGTTGTCTGGTGGTGTGTGGCGGAGGGTGTCGTCTCCGTAGATTGAGTTGAGGGCTTCTATCTCGTCTTTGAGATCGTCTGACATTGTTGTGTGTGCGTGTGTGGTATGAGTTGTGTGGCGTACCTCTTGATGGGGGATATGATAACGGTTATGTGAGGTTGTTGGTTGATGAGAGGGGGGTTTGAAGTGTGGTGTTTGATGTGGTTGCTACTCTCGTGAGATGTGTGCCCTCTTATTTCGGTTTTCTCATCATATAAGCATACGACTTTTGAAAGGTTTTCATATATATAAAGGAAGTCTGTGTATGATCGTCAATGTTGAGGTTGAAGATGAAATTGAGAGAAAGTTACATTGAAGTCATCCAATGCTCCCCACCTCCAATCATCTCATGATGTGGGGCCGTCCGACGTCGAAGGCCCAAGCTCCGCAAATACTCCACTCACGTTGACCTCAGTGCTCACTCACACTGGATGAACCTCACAATCTCACAGCTGCAGCTGAATGTGGTATCGTCGTGGCAAGTGCTGACCAGAGACACACGGTACAGACGGGGCGGCTTGCGCAAGCGGAACTTGATGCCGGTGCCAGCCTATCACAGGCAATTTAGATTGCAGCTCTGCAAGCTAGCTGCCTAGGTAAGATGGGCAAGATGGCGTCTCTTCGTGCCTCAACATTGGCCTCGCACCTTGACTTGAACTACACAGTGACATCTAAAAGGCTTCTGGACAGAAAGCGTCTTCTCATTCTGGACTTGAATTCAGAGTATTGTATTAGCGAATCCATGGACGGGACCAGACTTCCACCAACGTAGACGACTGTTTTGCAGACGACTGATTCCCTAGTCAGCAAACATGCCAGCCATAGGCGCACCCAAAGGGCACGTAGACTGCCTCCCTCCCCCAGACAACTTATGCCCGACGTGCAGCCAACTCAACCTCTCAGCTGAGAAGTTCCTCCCAGGCCAGCCCAAGGCCAGCTCCCTCCCAGGCTTCCTCGCCCGTCCAATCGACCCCGTCGGGCTACAGCCGCGGGAGCTTGGCTACCTCGACGAGATCTACCGGAGAAGAGACGAGTGTCCCTTGTGCTGGCTTCTCTTCAACGCAACGCACGCGACGAACGAAGAAGGCGCAGATCGTTTCGAATGGAGCCGCCCCAACGTCCGCCAGGCAATCGGCTACGATGGCCTCACGAGGGATGGCGGCCGCGTCCGCTGCTCCGTCGAGTGGCAGCTCGACGGCCGTTTCTTGGAACCTTCTGTAGGGCCGAGAGACATGACGCATGCGCCGCCGACCCGCCGCTTGAAGGTCTTTAGCCCGGACGAAATCTTCACCGAGGCTTACATCATGCTGCTGGCCACGGAACCTCACACGACGTGGGACAAGACCTTCCTGGCCCGGCGAATTTCTCCTCACCAGGCCGACGTAAGTCTTCTCCGGCGCTGGCTCGACATATGTAGGACACACCATGACAGCGGCTGTCAGCCCTCCCCGCCGGATGAAGTCTTCTCGCTACTCGAGAACCTCAAGTTCATCGACTTGGACGAGGAGAAAATCGTCACCAGCGCCCGTGGCGGTGTTCGAGTGACTGAGTACGCGACTCTGAGCTACGTATGGGGTGGGACACAACCGCTTATTCTGACGAAGGAGAATGTATTTGAGTACTCCTCAAAGGGATCCCTCGGTCCCAACACGCCAGGTCTACCGAATACCGTTCGCGATGCCATGATGCTAGTCAAAGCGTTGGGCATCAAGTATATCTGGGTCGACGCTCTCTGCATCCTTCAAGACGACACGGAGGAGAAGTTCCGTGTCGTCCCGATGATGGACCGCGTATACGGACACTCGATTCTCACAATCTGCGCCGCCGCCGGCAGCGGCTCTCACCACGGAATCCCAGGATCCCCATCGACGCCCCGCGAGGCCCGGCAGCCGAAAGTCCGGTGCAACGGCATCGACCTGGTGACCACCAAGACGGTCGAGGGGCTCGTCGAAAACACAATGTGGAATAGCAGGGCCTGGACGTTCCAGGAACGGATGCTCTCCAAGCGGTCTATGATCTTTGTCGAGAATCGCGTCTTCTTTCAGTGCCGCCACGCGACGTGGTCCGAAGAGGTCTTTTCCGAGGTGCTCACCCCGTCGTGGACCCTGGAAATGATACGGTCTCCTCTGAAATCGTTTGAGAAGAACCCGGTCAGGCTGTACTTGGAGTGCGTCGAGCTCTTCAGCGGCAGGCTCATGACGTTACAGAGCGATCGGTTACCGGCCTTTGAGGGCATGGCGGCCATCCTTTCTCCCCCGCTCCGCGCCAACCTCTTTTACGGGATGCCAGACTCCTATTTCGACTTTGCGCTCTTGTGGGAGAAGAAGATTTACGGCCTCAGGCTCGAAGACTTGGGTGGTCGATCGCGATATCCCAGCTGGTCGTGGAGCGGCTGGCATGGTGCGTCGACATGGCGGCTGTCCATGGTCTCTGGTATTTTGCTGAATCTTCACGAGTGGTTGAAGTCGCACACTTGGGTTGTATGGTATAAGATGACACGAGATGACCTTACGGGGAACCGTCCACTGGCAACTGGCAAGGCCAGCAAAAAGTCAACTTTCGAAGTCGTGTGGTCATCGGGTGAAATCCACCATAATCCAAATCGATGGCACGGATACGCCAAAGCCTCTGCAGAAGACATCCCTTTCGGTCGTCAGATTAGCCAGAGCGATGAAGAGCACCCAGACGAGATCGCACATGCACCCAAACCAACCATGCCCACCGCAACCATTTTGCGAGAAGATTACCTCTACTTCTGGACCTACACTGCCTTCTTTCAGCTCTCTAGAACAAGCCGCAGCAGCCCGTCCTTTGCCTCCAAGCTCGAGGCAGGCCTCCACCGCTTCGGCCTACTCGATGCCCACGGCGACTGGTGCGGCACCGTGATCCTCGAAGATACATGGTTCGCCCGCGTGGGCGACGTCGTCGAGCTCGCAGCCATCTCGGACGCCCGAGACTTTTCAATGGAGGAGCTGGATAGCTGGAACTACTATGTGCCCGAGGACCGCGAGGTGTCCGAGTGGCATCTGTACTACGCGTTCGTCATCACCTGGAACAAGGATCGTAGCGTTGCTGAAAGGGCTGGGCTGGCGAAGGTTTATCAGCGGGCGTTCGACGTGGCTTCTTTTCACCCGGGAAAGGCGTGGAAGGAGATTACTCTCGGATAGGTAGCGAGTGGGTTGTTGCTTGAAGAGTTCGGGAAATGCTGACCAGAGATCCGAGAAAATCTTCGTGAGTTGACATTGAGTTATTATGACAAGAGCTGGCTACCGTACATGACGCACAAGACAAACTTGCGTTTGAGGAAATGAAGAGTCTATGGAACTATCACCCCCCCATTCGGGAGTGACATCTGTTTGCCAAAAAGCCAAGAGTAGTTGGGAGAAGAACTTCGAACAATACCCATATCCCAATCCTACCCCCAAAACGTAAAGCATAGTGAGAAACTGTGCAAGCAAGAAAAGAAATAAGACAGGAAGACAATTGACGCTCAAGTGACCCCAAAGTCTCCCCGTCAACCGCCATGCCGAAATGAATTCGGACGGACGAATAAGGGATGACCTCAAAACCTAGCACTCGAAAGAGAAAGCATCCATCCAGAATGACCAAGTTCCTCCCTTTCCCTTCCCCCTCTTTAGTAGTAATACTTCTTCACAGTCTTCTCAACCAGGACCCGCCTCGGTCTACATAGCGCAGGCCGGCCGTACCGGTCCCGGCAGATGCTCACGCCGTCGTGGCGGTACCCTGGCCCTTCGAACCGCAACCGCTCACAGTAGGCGCACCGCTCCGACCCGTAGCTGCCGTAGCTCGAGCCGCTGTACCCCGATCGGTAGCTGAGCCTGTCGTCGAAGCGGTCTCGGTAGCCGTAGGACGAGCGGCAGCGATAGCAGACTGTCTCTGTGAAGGAGTTGTGCCAGTCTATGATGTTAAATCAGGACGTTAGTCTCAGAGGTCTAGGTGGGTAAGGTCATCGGGAAAGGAGAGTATGTCGGGAGAAAAGTGGCATACCCTCCGGACCATCAAGATTCAAAGGGCGAGAGAATGATGACGCTCGTAGATGAGACATGCCAGGAAAACCATAAGAGACAAGTGTTACTTACAGCGCCGACATTGCGTGCAGAGTTGATACCCCGCCGGTCCAGGCCCATATCCGTACCCGTACCCCGGACGACCGGGGAACACCTCGGTGGTGGTGACCTCGTTGATGACCTGCGCGCCCGCCGGCACGACAGCCACGTCTCGTTCTCTGTTCGCGACAATGATCTCGTTGTTGACGGGTCCGCGGGAGACCTCGTTGACGACGACGGAGGCGCGATCCTTGACTACCTCGGCGACAGCCGGACCGCTACCGCCGTGACCTCCGTGACCTCCGTGATGTGAGGGCATAATTACGAGAGAGTGACTTGTTGCCTTTTTTTCCCTTCCTTTCTTTGTTTCTCGAGTCCCCCTTTCCCCTCCCTTTATCTTGATCGAAGCGGATTTGGTGGTTTGTTTATGCTTGAGTTCGGTCACTTCGTGTCGTTTGAGAACGTTGGCGAGGGAATACCGTAAGGAGGGGGCGTGAGGAGGTGTAGTTGTAGTTGTAGTCGCAAGCTGAGGGCTGAAATGTCCGAGGGGAGCTGAGTGCCGACGGCTGAGTTCCGAACGTGACGCCGCCAACAAACAAGTGCTGATATGTTGAGTGAGTTGTCCTTGTGATGTCTCGAAAAGTAATGCAATGGGCAAAAAAGGGGGTGGTAACCCCAGGCTTCTATACTACCTTACCTTACCTTAGGTGAGAGTCAAAGGGGGCAAGCCCAAGATACACACACCAAATAACAATAGACAGGGTGGTCTCCAATGACTGACCACCTTGCTCTTACTTACACCCTCCCCCTTCCAAGCGATTCCAGAATCATTCTTTCCTTGAACTTACATTAGACTGAGGCAGTACCGTTACTTTCTGTTGATGGCTTCTCACCCCCAAAGCTTACCTTCGCCGTCTCCCCTGCCCGGATGACCACCACTAGCGGAACTCTTTCACCCAACGCATGACGTGAAGGCCAAGACGGAGCTGGTGAGGTCACAGGTTCGGAGAGTCAAAGAAAGGGATTGAAAAGTGGTGTGAAGGGGGGGGGGGGGGGAGGGGGACAACGATGCTAGCTCCAAGACCAAAACACCAAAAGCTGACCGCGTACCCTGCGGGATTGAAGCTAACGATGCACCCAACACGGCCTAAGTTCGACTTAGATCAGACTGCGAGAACGTGGCAGAGCCCAACCCAACAATGCCACAACCTTTTTTGTCTCTCTTCTGCCTGCCTGCCTGCCTAAAACGATGGCGGGCAACTGTCTCAGGGTGTAGGCTGCGCTGCGGCTGCGCTGCCCCTGAACCCCTTCGGAGGGGCTGAGCCGGAGAAGGCATCCTCAACTATCGTTGGATCCGGGCTTCCGGGACCCTCATCGGCGTCACACGTGGGGCCTCTGACCACACCTCTCTTTTCTTCCGGGAAATCTAGAACTGGGCATAGGTCACCGTCATCTTGTTCTCATAGGTGCCGCCAACAATAATTTGTGTATTAGGGGATAGAAGGACGTATCGTACACGTTTGCAGCGTAAGTGTTCTCGCCTCCGATCGCTATTTAGTCTGGACACAACGCCCAGACGCCCAAAATGTCATACCTGCCCCATTTCCAACCATGATTTTCCGTCGTGTCCTCGTGTGACTTTGTGTGTTCTTCATGACCTTCCGGGCCCGTCGCCCTTCTTCGCTACTTCTTTCCGCGGCAAGATCACGACCTTCCGGCTAAGTAGCTCTCTTAACTCGGGAGTGATAATCTTCTTGACCTCGGGCTCTTCAGTTGCCTTGCTCTTGTCCTTGCGTGGCGATGCTGGACCTGCACTGCTTTGGCTCTCCTGTGGAGTTTTGTCGGTAGATGCCGACTTTGAAGGAGACCCCGGGTCGCGGATTCTCGGTCCCGGGAAATTGCCCTTCTTATCGACGGCCTCAACCAGGCGATGGAACCGACGGAATAGCGCCTCCGCGCGAATTAGAGTTGAGTCAAGATCCATTGTGTTGGAAAGCTCGTTGACTGTACCAGATTAGTATGACGAATTGACAGGAATTTCAGATGACCACATACCGTATTTAAGCACCTCATCAAAATGCTGCAGGTGGGTCATGATGACGTCGCGGTGCTTCTCCAAAATGGCCAAGGCCACAAATAGGTGGAAGCTGCTGCTCAAATAGTCCGTCCACAGAGTTTCCCAAAGACGCAGCACATCCATCCACTCGAACTCCCGTTTATACCAGACGAGCAACATGCGGAAGAAGAAAAAAAAGTTTGTGCTATCAGCAGACTGCAGGTGAGCGTAAAGCTTGGGGTCCATGAACTGAACGAGATGATCAAGAGTCAGTAGCTGAGACCGCATGCCAGACTGATCTCGTAGGAAATTGCGCTCCATGCGGTCCATGAAGTGCTGGAAGCCCCAAAAGGCGATGGCATCGTCCTGCATCACAGCGTAGATAGGAGCGAGAAGATCAGACATGCCCTGCACGTAGCCGAGATCCTTATTGTACTCGTTGTACGTCAGGAGCATGTCCTTCATCTGCTCAAGATGGACATTGGTGCCGACCTCGGAAAAGGGGGAGTCGGGATCGGGGTGCGGAATGTCTTCTCCGGCGAAGATGGGCACATTACGATCTGTCCGGTGGACATCCTTTTCTGTCATGATATTAGTCGCGGCTAGATGCGAAGGAACAACATAGAGACTTACCGATTCGACCGCGTTGCTCACGCCACCACTCGCCCTGTTCGCCCTCGCCTCCCAAGTCTACTAATCTCTCCCACCATGCGCCCTTCAACTTAACATATTCGTCTCGTAGGGACGCGAGATGGGCTTTTCGCTCCTCGGCAGTGCTATACCAGTCGTGAACCCCGAGAATAAAGAGCCATGCCTCTTTTCTCACACCATCGTCAGGGTCCAGTCCTCCGTGAAACACCCGTTCTTTGACTTCGTCAACAGTGACAGAAAGCCTTCCAGTTCGTGGATCAAAGAACGTGTTCCATTCTTTCAGCGTCACCGTCTTTCTTCTATCCTCCAACGACATGGTGCTACTGCCGTCTAGCAGCTCAAACTCTCCAACATCGGTGTCCTCGAGCTCCAAGACCTCCTTAGCAGTCCATATCCTCTGGCTCCGATCTCGCTCACTTTGTTCGGCAATTCCCATTGCCCAGCGCGCCAGGTATATCCTCGCACTGTCAAACTCATCTTGAAGAGTCTGAACCTCTGGGTTGCGAAGAAGCCTCTTGACTTGTGGGGGAACATTCGGGTTCTGTATGACGTCTTGAGCAGCCCGTCTGGTGAAAGTGGTGACCTTGCTGAACTTCTCCATGATGTTCCATCCAGTTTCTTTGACAAATTTTACAAAGGGGTCCATCTGCGCGTCACTACTGGGGCCAGCGCCGCCGGCTCGAGTCCCCGAAGCATCATTTTGGCCGGCCTGAGCCGTACTGGACGTGAGCTTGCCACTGAAAGCCTCGCTGTCCTCCTTCGAGGGCTCCACCAAGTAAATGTTGGGCTCGGCGCCGGATCTCTCGATCGGAACGTAGCGCCGCAACCATCGTAGGACCTCATCGCCGCCCCAGAACATCTCACCCCGGTCACCGAATGGGTCGAAGCTATCCCTCGTCCGCCTCTTTCTCTTAAGGATGGTGCTCTGACATTCGCTGTCGTGGAAAAATAGCGCGGGAAAACTATCACCAGCTCTCGAGTTGATGATCAGAGAGCCGAACCACCAACCCAGACTCGGTGGTCTCACGAGAAGCGAGTATATTGCGCTGACTGGAATGGCGAAAGCATATGTGCCTACAGAGCCTCTGTGGGATGTGACCGTCGGCGGAGGGGGTACCAGGTACGACTGCTTAGGCGGCGAATCACCTTCACTGAGGTCGACCTTGACGTAAATACTCTCGGATTCGCCGAGAGATGTTTCGGGGAGCCATGCTAGGAGCAGGTTGGAGGGAGGTGGATTGCGAGAGTCTCGAGACGAGGAGGAGGTCGGTCGTTCGCTTGAGCCTCCTTTCTGCTGGAGTAAGGCTATGTAGCCTGGGATATTATCTTTCGCAGATGGCGTGGGGTGAACATAGACCTGTGCCGTTGCAATATTCCCGTTAGTTCCGGTCTTTGTAAGGTGTGGGGTGGCGAGAGTGGTTTCTATGACATACCTTGCTCTTAGAGAATAGAAGCTTGACGCCCCGTCCTGTTTCTGTATGCGTGATTGTGTTGTAGTCCCCTTCCTCATCGTCGCTCAGGGCATAGAAGCTCCCCGAGGGCGAACGAGGTCGCGTCGGTGGTGGAGCGTTGGTGGCCGGCGGGGGATCTGAGTCTGAGGTCATCGTGCAGTGCGCCGCCGATAATGTAAGCTGGGATGTACGGGAGGCTTCGGCTCCGAAGGCCTGCTGTCGTCTCGGGTGAGGCTATTCAGGAAACAGAGCTATTGCGACAGTGGCTCTACTGTTAGAGTTTCCGGTAGAAAAATAAAGTGACAAGAGCGAGAAACAAAAAGGATGATCCGGGGAAAGTGGCATGTGAGCGAACTGTGGCTAATGATATGGGACGTTGGGGGCGAATAGCTCAGGCAAGGTGCTGCGCAGTCGTCGCCGCGCCCTCTGAGGGGCGTGGCCACCCACTTCCGTCACTGAATCACCCCGCTGCGAAAGCTTGCATCCATGTCTCGGAGGGGTTGTTCCCACTGTATCTGTACCGCGATTTAGGCAGCCTTTTAGCGTAGTGTGGCGGTACAGCTACCCGCGCATCAAGGTGAACCATGTCATCTGCAGCATGCATGCGTCGTCATTCGCACCTCCGGTTGGTCCTTCCGAGGCTACGTATTGCACGCGCAAGCAACTCGCTCCATCGTCGCCAGATTCGGCCTCGCGAGACAAAGCTTCATCGCGGACTCGCCGTTCCGTGTTAATGAGTTTCTAGGTGTAAACATCGTGACTCACTCGAGCTCACTGTTTCGCGCATCGGGGCGTATTCCATGACGACGGAAGCTGGCGACATACCTGCAACTTTTTGATCAAGCCCAGCAGATCGAACAATACATCAAGGCCAGCGACTTCAGTCCAAATGCATGATTAGTAGTGTGTGTATTGTGTGTATGTATGTGCCTCAGCTCTGCTCTCGCACCTTTCCGGATACATGTCTCCAAGCAACATCCGCATTCTGCCTTGCCTCGAGGGTCTGCGATGTCCACCGTTTACATACGGTCCGCAGATCCTCACACTAAGCCGACTGTCGACAACTTGATTCCGGCCCGCCAAGCATCTCGACTGCGAACGCCCGCATCATAATGAAGAACCCCCGAACAAGGACCCGTCATCCTCAAGGCGTATTCTCGCTCGCGTTCCGCGCACCCCTTGATCCCATCCACTTTACCTCATACGAGGACCGCTTGGGAGACCTTGACGTCTTGGGCCAGCAGGCAGTCCTGTTCGCCCACCAGTGCCACCGCCGCCGCCGCTGCCTCCACTATAGCCAGGATCGTTGTTCGACCACGGAGAGTTGGATGCCACAAATGGCCTACCTCCACCTCCTCCACCACCACCGCCGCCGCCTCCATTCCCATCGTACATGCCGCCGGGAGCAAATCGGTCTTCGTAGTCACCGCTCCCGCCTCTGCCCGTCGGTGGTTGGAATGGTCCTTGGCCTCCAGATGCCGGACTGGTTGTTCTCGCACCTCCCCATAGTCGCTGCTTAAGCCGATCCTGTGCTGAGCCGCCCGCTGAGCTGCCCGGCGGTGTGTTCGTCGTGTCTCTTCCATATGCCGCACTTTGCTGATAACTGCCCGCTCGCTGGCTGGGTAGAGGTCGTGCCTGCACCTCTTCGCGTCCATTGTCTCCGGCTCGGGCAAAGGGGCTCAGTCGCGCGGGCTGCTGCTCGGCGCCTCGCATCGGTGGGGGAGCTCCGCGACCTTGCCGCAAGCTCATCGTGTCCTGCCTCTGCTGCGCGCCGCCATTATTGTCCCACAGAGAGCTCAAGCCCGTCGTAGGACCAGCTTGCTGTTGCTGCTGCAGACCTCCGTATCGTGCGCCGACTTGCTGGGCTGGTTGGGCGTAGACGGGCGCTGCTGGGGGTGGTGCCTTTGGGTCGGGCGGCAACCAGCCTGGGAACGGACGGCCTTTCTCGGTGTAGTAGCCTCTAAGGACTCTGCACACGTGGGTGTCGTCTTCAGTGTCGCCGTCGTTTTCGCTCTGCAACAAGCGACTCTGCAGGTTCGAGATCTGAGAGGTGGTGTTGGTGAGGATCCTCGAGTACCAAGATGACATCGTGCCTTGTTCCTTGCCGCGAGGATCCTGCGGGGCAAAGGCAGAGAGGCAAAAGGCGCTGTTTTCGACTGTTTTCGGACGGGTTGGGGTAAAGAGCTCTGCTCCGGGGCACGAAAGCTACTCGTCGGGGCTTGTGTCTGTGAAATCGCTCGCTCGCTATCGAAGTAGTTGAGTAGTGAGAAAAGGGAGAAGTTGGGATACCAAATGCCGGCGGGTGGTTTCGTTGTGCTGTTTTAATTTTGGAGGGTTGCTTGAAGTGGTCCGTTTCAAATAAGCCGGTCTTGAATGATAGGGAATGGGAAGCGACCTGGGTTGACGGGTCCGACACTTGTCGCCCGACGGAATGATGCAGGGTGGTGGGGCCTGGGCCTACCCGCATTGTTCTAAAGGAACTTGCACTAATTGAGGTGCTTTGTCTTCACCGAGCGCCCCCCGGCTCGAGTAAGTCTCGGTGAAGCATGGATCACTGCTCCAGGCCGCATGCAAGTCACCTCCTACCTCAGTCTCCAACCTTACGTACAGGAGATTTAGTACCAGATATTGGCACACTCACGCAGCCTACCAGGCAGTCGCCTATTTGCACGACTTTTTATTTCAAACGGTCTATAGTGAACATAATTAAAGTAAGAGAACTGGAGTATGAACAAGGTAAACGTGAAAAAAGATATGAGACAGAGGACAAGCACGATATGCCATGCACGCAAAAAACCACAGTGCAGGAATATTAAACAGCCATTTGATAAAATGTATATCACAACACACGGTGGTATGCACAATGCCCCCAGTTTTTGATTTTCCGTCCCGTAATCAGCCGTAAAGGTATCCGCGCCAGACGCCATTGGAATTCCACGCGAGCCTCTCTCACCAGGTCAATTCCTCCGCAATCTTGGGGCGCTCCTCCTGCTTCTGCTTCAGCCTCTTCTGGTTCATCTTGACCGCCCGGCCGCGCTTGCGCTTGTCGCCAGCCTTGCGAGCCGCCTCCTCGTCGCTGTCTTCAGAGTCGTCATCCTCCTCCTCCTCGTCATCATCCTCGGCGTCATCGTCGCTCTGGAGCCAGTCCTCAATGTCCTCGAGCTCCTCTTCACTCTCCTCAATATCGGAGACGTACTCGACCTCCTTCTCCAAGTCGTCCTCGGACTCATCCTCTTCCTCGCCCTCTTGCTCCGACTCCATACCGGGGTCCATGTCCTTATCACGCTTGCCAGCGCCCTCCTTCTCCATGGAGTTGAGGACTTTCCTCCAGATCGACTCGCTGACGTTGAGGGGTTGGTCGCCGTAGGCGCCGGAACGTAATCTCTCGACAAGCTCGCGCTCAATGGTACGCTCCAACTTGGCGGCGGCCTCGGCCTTGCGCTCTCTGGCCTCCTCGCGGCGCCGGATCTTGGGCGCCATCTTCGGTACCAGCTTCTCGCCCATGCGCTCCTCCTCGGCGGCGATCTTGCGCATGCGAATGTTGACTTGTGTGAGACGGGTGAGACGCTGTTTGCACTTGTGGACGAGGAACTTGGGCCAGTAGATGAGCTTGTCATCGAGCATCTCCAGGGCCTTGGCGTAGTTGTTGGGCAGCTTGATGCGCTCCCATAGCTTCGAGGGCATGTGCGCACGTTCGATCGTCTTCATGTAAAGGTACAGCGTGTCCTTGTTCGGAGCGCGTCGAACGGTGGCATAACGGGAGTTTGCCAGCGGGCATGATTGTCTGTTGCAGAGACCTGTGACATTGTTCTCGTTTCTGCAGAACGTCTGCTTCTTCTCTGTGGAAAGTTTGAAACTGCAGAACTGCTGGTTGATAATTTGCCTAGGGCGGGGCGGATTAGGATTGAGGCCTGCAATTAATTCTGTTAAATCCAGACTCACCAGATAATCTCGTCGGACGCCATTGTGACGGTTTTTGGCGGGAAATGGACGAGGTTGAGAGTTGTCAAAAGGCCTTGCCGTTCGTCGAGTGCTGGAAGAAAACCGAGGCGGCGGGGCGCTTCCAGGTTGGTTTTCCTCGCTCTCGACGCTACAAAAAAAAATTCCATCCAACGGGCAAGTTGCAGGGGTACGAGCCTTATCGCGATAAGCTCGGGGGTAAAGCGGCCCGGCCGACCAATCGAACGTCTTGAATTGCAATAGCTCCCAAATCGGAACTTCGTCAACCTGATCTGCTCAATCGTTCAGTGAACAGTTCGTTCTCATCATCTCATATAATATTACACTCATGTATTTTTGATCGCAATGCGGATGTAGTCGTCCTGAATATAATAGCTTCATTGATTTCTTTCGATCCACTGTTTCACTAGTCCATGCATGCTCTCATTCGGTCGACGAGGAGCCTCGGCCGAAACCTCCCCTTACGCACTCGACGATGTCTTAGTGATCGAGGTTACAGCTCATTGAGAATTCGGCCCCTGGCGGTACCATCAACTGCTTTAGGCCGTTTCTACCAAACAAATATACCACAAAACACGAGTGCTCAGTCACGGTTCATCACATCGACATCAGATGTCATTTTCAAGGAAGACACCATCTATGCCTTGTCAACAGCACAAGGCCGGGCCGGCATCGCCGTAATACGCATTTCTGGTCCCGGATGTATAGACGTGAGAGCATTTCCAGCAATTGAATGAGAACTCGGCACTAAAACTCAATCTTAGGTCTACAAAGGCCTATGCCCGAACAAGGCATCGCCAAAACCTCGATATGCATCAGTCAGAACCCTCGTAGACGGCCAAGCCAGCGAGGAGGCAACAATCTTGGATTCAAACGCCTTGGTGCTGTACTTCCCTGGACCTAAGACAGTAACCGGAGAAGACGTCCTAGAACTACACGTCCACGGCGGCACAGCGACAGTCAAGGCAGTCCTCGCCGCGATCCCGCGATGCGCCTCCGCCTCCGAAAGTAGCAGCAGCAGTATCGTTCGCTACGCCGAACCAGGCGAGTTCACCAAACGAGCCTTCCTCAACGACAGACTCGACCTCGCACAGGTGGAGTCCCTGGGCGACACTCTCTCCGCCGACACGGAGCAACAGCGCCGGGCTGCCGTGCGCGGCAGCTCGGGCAGCCTAGGCCGGACCTACGAAGCCTGGCGCGAGCAGCTTCTCTTGGCCAGGGGCGAAATCGAGGCCCTCATCGACTTCTCCGAGGACCAGCACTTTGACGAGTCCCCCGCGGAGCTGATGAGCAACGTCAGCGCGCTCGTCGCCGACATGCGGCACCGTATCGGTGTCCACGAGCGCGCGGGCCAGCGAAGTGAGCTCCTCCGAAACGGCATTCGCATCGCGCTGCTTGGTCCTCCCAACGTCGGCAAGAGCTCGCTGATGAATCTCGTTGTTGGCAGGGAGGCATCCATTGTCTCGATGGAGGCTGGCACGACGCGGGATGTTGTCGAGGTCAGTCTCGATATTCGGGGGTACCTCTGCTCGTTCGCAGATACGGCTGGCATCAGGACGAGGCTTGCTGCCGGCGGCGGTGGTGGTGTCAACTCCTCTGAACCTGCGTTGGGGCTGGTCGAAGAGGAGGGTATCCGGCGCGCGAAGCAAAAGGCCTCGGAATCCGACATCATCATCGTCTTAGCGGCCGTCGAGCCCAGCCCCGGCCCCCAGGGCGGCTTCCGCATCAACTACGACGCGGAGACGCTACAACTGGCGTCCGAAGCGCAGGCCTGCTTAATCGTGGTCAATAAGCGCGACGCCGTCGACGCCGCCACCTTCTCCAGCCTCCTTGAGGGCTTCAGAAACGAAACAGCCTCTCGGATACCAAATCTCCGCACAGTGGAGATCATTGCGATCTCCTGCCGCGAGGCTGAAGCACAAGCCAAGTCTCCCTCCGCCAGTGGCAGCGCCGGTCAGAAAGACCCGGGCGCGATCCACGGGCTCATCGACCGCCTGGTCGAGTCGTTCGCCGGTATGACGGCCCTCCCCGTGGACCAGCAAGACCTGCTGGGCGTGACGGCCAGGCAGGCGCAGCTGCTCGAGCAGTGTCGCGGGTTCCTGGACGAATTCATGGCCGTCGCGCACTCCGAAGAAGGAGGAGGAACAGGAGACGGCGAGGACCCTGATATCGTCCTGGCGGCGGAACACCTGCGTTATGCGGCAGATAGGCTGGCCAAGATTACGGGGCGCGTCGAGGCCGGGGATGTAGAAGAGGTTCTCGGGGTGATTTTTGAAAAGTAAGTCTTGACTATTTTATCTCCCATGGTTCTGTTTTTTGGCACGTTTCACTGACACGTCTTGACGTTTTCAGGTTTTGTGTAGGAAAATAGAGATTAGACTACTATCGAATCCCGGACGGTGAAGTCCTCATATATCTAAATCTAATCTGTCGTAGACAAAGGAGAAACAGGAGAAATGGAGGAGTGAAGAAGAAGAGAAGAAGAGAGATACGAATCAAACCCGTCAACGCCGAGCCAATGCGACAAAGGAAACCATTCCTCTTCGAGAAGAGGCACGCCATGCTTGCTATGCAGTCCCAAATTCCAATGAAAGAAGAAGAGAGAAGGAGGGGGCGGAGGCGGAAGGAGTGTGATCCGTCGCGATGCTACCATCTACCCCAAACTCCGGCCCAATGCATGAGATAAGAAAAGAAGAGGAAGAAGAAGGATCGCCGCCGCCAGCACCCTTTGAAGCCCAAACCTTTCATGCTCGCGCAAGGGAAGGGAAGGGCGAGGTAGGCGGACGGATGCAAGTGATGAAAACGCCGATCTAATGCTGATAGAATAGGAAATTTCGAGCTCGCAAGTCTGATGCGGCGGAGCCCCTCGTCTTATACAAGACATTGAAGATTGGGAAGGCAGCCGCAGCAAAAAAATGGAGGGATGCAAAGCCGGTAACCGAGAGTCCTCAGGGGATCAAGGAACCCAGAAGAAGAAGATGTGCGCGAAGGAGTGGTGAGACGCTTATTTGTCCTCCTCGTCGTCGCCATCCTTGTTGTAGCCGGAGCGGCCCTTGTTCTGGCCCTCGTCGTCGTCATCGCCGTCCTTGTTGTATCCGGAGCGGCCGCGGTTGTCCTTCTCCTCGTCGTCGCCGTCCTTGTTGTAGCCTGAGCGTCCGTAGACGGCGGTGGCGGGAGTGAACAGAAGAGTGAAGGCGGCCATTGTGGTTGAATTTGTGGGTTTTGTGTGTGTGTGTTGGAGGAAGTTGAGCTTTCGGTGGAAGGCGAGGTAGATGGGTTGTTGATGGTGTAAGTGGTTGGTGTTTGTGTGTATAAGAGAGGAGACGTGAGATTGTTTTGAGATTGTATGAGAGCTGTGTCTAAGCTTGTGATGCCGGATTGTGAGTGTGATGATGGATTATATTCCTGCCTCAGATGGGGATATATCAAGGAGTTTATATAGGCCTCAAGGCATCCATATTCTCTCTCATATCGAGAGACGGGGCTGGGCGTTGATGAGGCTCATCGTGTAGGGGTGAGGTACCTTAGACAGGTACGGAGTGAGACCCCAGCCCTACGTACCTTTACGATTTACCTCAGGTCAAGGGGGGGCAGCAGAAGAGAAACCCAGCCATTGGTACCTCGACTTGGCATCTCAGCCTCCGTGCGAGGAGGCGCGGACGCCCGGTAAACGGGTATCGCAACGGCTAGGGGTTGGGGCGTTGGGCTTGTGTGGGAGATTGAGATACCTGCGATGCTAGTTTCGGCACGGCCCCCACGGCTTCTCTGTCTCGCTCTCTCTAGGCAGCCCTTTTGCTTTCCAAATTTGGGACATGTGGAGGGCGATGACATGTACCCAAGGCAACCAAAGAAGAATACGACCGGGGGCGGGTAATAGTTAAAAAAAAAAAAAAAAAAAAAAAAAGGACCCCTGAAGGACAAGTCTGAGCCTTCTTTCTACTAAGGTACGAGGAAGTATCGTAACATCTTTCCTCTTCCCTGGGCAACATGAACGAAGTAAAGATGACATCCATCACTGCCCGCCGCGCGCGCATGTGGTATGCGTGTAGTGTCTGCGTGTGTGTCACTGTCATCGGTCTGCAGACCACTCGGCATACGGCAGACCAGAAACCCGGGCGACGTGATGGTGGGTTTCGCAAGGTTCCTCGTCATGATGTGAGATGCAATGTGCGAGGCGAGGGGGGAACGCCATGCGCTGGAGTGCCGCGGGCCTGGATTGCGGTGATCTGGGCAGATGTGGCTCTCAAATCAGTTCCCTGTAAGTAACCCAGCAGCTCCGCAATAGGCTGTCATATCAATGGCTCATTTCCGTTTCTGGTCGTCAGAGGGCCAAGGGTGTGGCTCACTGGCTCGTCCTCCGAACTTTTGGAAACAAGAGGGACAGGGACGAAATCCAAGGCGACGGGTTTTGGTTACACGGACTGGTGCATCATGATTAGTCGATGCGCTAAAAGAGACAGGAAAAGATTGTGAGCAAGTCTTGTTTGGCGAATGGGAGAGGCGCCGACAGGGAAGAGGTCGGATGTGTAGGGCTGAGTAGACCAATGGGGACTACCTGTGCAGAGGAAAGTAAGCACCAGCCTAGCCTGCCTAGAGAGACGTCTCAGGTCGGCCCGGATGAGATCGCGTAGCAGCCACAGGATATGTCTCTGTCAGCATCTTGGAGGCTGTGCAAATGTTCTTCTTCTTTCGAGTTTCTGAGTAGCGAGGACTGAAGACGCTCGAAAGTGGGCCACGGTAGAGGGTCGATTGGAGGGGATGGAGGCTGACATAAGGGCAACCAGCGCATCTCCATTGAGCAACTGACCGATGAGACAGGCAAGTGATCTAGCCGCCTCAGCCAGCTTGACAGTCACCCGTGTGATTTTGATTCGTTGATTGCAGTGAAGGCTGCGACTGCCTCCGGCGGTGCCCGTATGTCTCTACCTTTGGATAGGCGTAGTAATTACAAAGCTCCGGAGCTGCTCGGTGTTTGAGTCCTATGGTCGGTGAGCAGCGGACGGGTCGGTCGTGGCCGTTGATCCCGTCATTGGTAAGACACCGGCGGTTGTTCCCCCGACAGTGATCGACACTGCAGGTGAGCAGGCGAAAGAGTCACCGGTGTCGTAGGTACCTGTGTATGAAATCGCCTTGTGAGACATCTCATGTGACGACGAACGCGAGGCATCGCGAAGTGACGGGCATTGAATCACGGGCATGGAAGCGGAAAGATGGGTGATGCCGGAAACTCCGCTCAGTGCTCGCAGCAAATGACTGCCTTGGCTCCGTGGGGGCCCCGTGGAGCATCCGGAGAGACGGCAGAAGGCGGTGCTGGTCCGCACCTGGAGATGACCTAAGATCCTTTGGCCTCAGTCGACAAGGCATCGAGTGGTTGCTGTAGTCATCATGTCTGGTATGTGATGCCGAAACGGATGTGGTCCAGCTTGAGTCTCTTGACCGAGTATACTCAAGACGGTCTAGGGCGCATCAGGGATCGGACAAGACCGAAGTGTGAAGTCATTGGCAGTTGTGATTGCAGAGGTGCATCGCATCGGTAGCGTTGGGCGACGGATATGACAGAGTACGGCTGCTATTGCCGCAAGGTTCGTGTTTCGGGCAAAGAGGTGTACTCGGGTGCAGGCCCATGATCCTTCGAGCGACTCGAAATAATAGAAACCACTGTGAGTCAGCGGATGCAGCGCAATAGTGCCTTGAGCCCTGTTGCAAAGTCTAAATCAGGCTTTTCCATGGGCAGACTAGTCTCTGCGGTTCTCGTGTATCTTTTGAGTGCCAACATGTTCGCATTGCCTCTGATAAGATGGTTGTACTCCGTAAAGGCTGCTTTTGAAGAGATGTCGTTGTGGAAGGCGTATCCGTAAGATGGGACGAGGTGAACGGGGATGCGACCGGGATGTTGGGGTCCAAAAGGGGCCGCTCAATGTTTCCTGAAGCAGCTGCCTAAGGAACTTTGAAGTTGCAGTGCCCGGGTGCGCTCGAAGCCACGTGCGACATTTCACCCATTGTCCGCCGCCGGGATGGGAGTTGGGGGCCATGGGGCCTTCCTTTCCTGGTTTCACTCCAAGGTACGTGAGTACCTACTGTACAGTAGATATCCGTACGGAGGGATGACTAAGGAGAACGTGGGCAGCAAAAGGTCTGAGCTTTGCGCCCCCTCAGACGGGAAGGCACAGCAGAGGTTCGCACTTTCCAAGGTACGCAAGGGAAGGAGGCAGGTCCTTGCTAGGGGCCGGCGCCCGGACCTTCTATGCGGCCCATCCAATCCTCCCCCTCCAACGTCTGGACTTCCAGTGGTTAGAACCCAAATCCTTCCCGCCTACATTCAACTACCATCGAGCATTAGCCATAATCAGCCACTATCGTGTCGGAAACTCCAAGTGACGATAGTGTTGAAAATGTATGAAAGGATAGAGCAACAGAAAATACGTCGCCTCAGATAGGTGCGATAGCGACGGCTCGTCCTCGTCCTCGTCCTTCCAATCCCGGCGTTTAATCTTGTTTGCCAAGTGACAATCAACAAACAAACAAATAATAACCAGCGCCACCAACAGGATGCTCCAACACAATGCTGGGCCGTCAATATGGATTCGGGTACCTGTGCCGTACGGTTACTGGGCCAGGAGTTTCACCCGTATCTCGTCCATCTTCTCTTTCTCTTCTCCTCTTCAGAATTTCTCTTCCACTTCCACGAGCCGTCTCACCTCTCTTGACCTTGACTGCCTTCTTTGTCCCGCGACGAGTCGAAACTTTGCGCAATGGAGTCTCTACCTGTCGAGGTCCTTCAAATGACCCTGAGTTACCTCTGTATGCATTGCCGAGACCCCACCGGCTTCCCTCACGCAGATACACAAGAGGTCCGAGACGACAAGAGAGCATTGGCTTTCCTTTGCAGAATCTCAAGACGCATATCTGCGGTAGCCTATCCGATCTTGTACCACTATTATGCGACGGGAAACATGCATCTTAGACAGACAGTTATCACCAGGCAAAGGCCCATCAGAAATACCCCCGAGCCGAACCTGGTTCAGAAATTCACCCGTACCATCCGACAGCGACCTGACTTGGCCTCATACGTCGATGCTATGCAGGTTGCAAGCTGGGACCTGGAAATCAATTATCGCCTAACCTCACCGGACTCCTCCAGCTCCGACAGCAGTGTGTCGGATTCAGAAGTGCCCCCCGAAGTGTGGGAAGCTGCCAGTACATTATACGCTGAACACTCGAGGAAGCCACAGCCACCGACGCCAATAAAGGACTACAGCATGCTAGAAGGCGAAGTTCCAGATTTGATAGCGGCTATCCAGTCATGTCCTCGTTTGCAAAGTCTTCTCGTCAGTTACAGTGACCACGACCCCATCTGGCCCGAAAAAAGCTGGCTGGGGCTGAGAATGCCCTCGATCCGTCGTCTGGGTGTCATAGTCGGCCTATCCAGGCAATGCACACTCTATATCAATTTCGCCGGAATGCAGAACATGTTTCCCAACGTGGAATCTATCCATGCTAGCACGGGAGGCCTTTGGATTCTTCAGCGCGGCACGCTTCCGACCAAAAACCCGAAGGACTTTTTGACAAAGTTGAAGAGCCTATCGATTGCGGGAATGCGGGATCCTCACTTGGAGGAGCTGTTGACATGTCTGCCTGGTCTCGAACGCCTCGAAATCACCAACCAGAACTACGATTGCTCCTGGCGAAGGGCCCTCAAGCCGGTGCAAAACCGACTCAAGAGCCTTCACATATCCTACCACCTCAAGCCGCACCATGGCATGAAGCTGTGGGATGTCAAGTTTCGCCACAGCGAACGGTTTAGATTATGCGGCGCTCTGGAGGAACTCTCGCTCGACTGCCGGTTAATCCGGGACGTCGTCACGCCCTATGCTCCCGAAGCGAGACTAGCATCGCTGCTACCGCCATCGATTCGCGTTGTTAGGATTCGGTATCTTCATTATGTCATGTCAGGGACACTGAAGTACCTAGCAGACGTGGCACCCACCCGCTTCCCGCATCTCAAGCTCATCCACATTGGGGTGAGCGAATGCGAGTCGCCCGGGAATGAGGACATGGTTGCGGCAATGGAGGAACCGACGCGCCGGCTCTTCGCGGCGGTGGGCATCGATTTGTTGTGGACGCAGGATCTGGTTTGGGAACAGAAGAGACCTGGAAGGTTCCTGGGGTCGGGGATAAATTTGACGGCCGACATACCCCTTCCGGTGGTACCCGAGCATATGATCATTCATTAACGCAGAAAAGGGTGTGCAGAGGAGGGAATTCCGGCTGACCGTCGTGAGAAGCTCATGTGTTGTCAGTAGTGGTGTACTGACAACGTCGGTTGGGGTATGCTGATGGACTCGGAGTCGAGAAGAGAACAAGTAACGGTGACAACGGGTTTCTGAAGCAGTTGAAAGCACGAACCAGGGGAAGCCTAGCAACATGTCGGTCGGTGTACATCTGCTCACTGCCTCCACATCGACTTTGAAGTCGATAGTCCTATTTCACTTAGCTAATACATCACTTACACGCCCATGAGCTAAGAGGCTCGATGTACATACTTCGTTTATCTACTATTCGCCCGAGCAATCAGCAACGGCAGGATAATAAGTAAATAAGGTATGTCCATCATGCTTCACAGCCCCTAGTGAATCCCCAACGCCACGAGACATAAGCTGAAATCGTCCAAGAAAGGCTTGGGAATATGAAACATCCACACACCTTCCTGTCCCAAATTCACGGCTGCCTGGTTTGGAAACACAGAGGCTAACCTGATTTAGGATATCTCACTTGAGCCGCACCAGCCTTACGACCTGCATGTAACCACCACCTACCCACCATTATCAACATCTCTCCTGCTGGTCTGGTGCTGACCACCGAGCCAAGACTTGGGTTCCACAACAGCCCTGCCACTCGGTCAGCGAAAGTAGGAGAGGCGCACATACACAGCCTACTAATGCAATGCAACCAGAGCCAGGAAAAGGCGGGAAATTGCAAAGAGAGAGACCTCGTGGTTGTGGAACGTGAGTAAGAAACAGAGCAACTCTGGCCCTCGTCAACCCCCCCCCCCCCCTTTCCCTTGCCAGCCTTGTAGATCTCCGAAAAGGGAAATAGAGCCAACCTGGGGTGTGACACAGAGGCGTGTAAGTGTGTATCTGCATGGCAAATTT